GTACACTTCCACAGAACCGGCTGGGAAGCCGTTTGCTTTTCTCACCACTGCTCACTTGCGCCAAAATGAGATATCAGAGTTAGCCACATGGCATCCCCAGGCAGTTCCCAACCAGCTTGCCCCCAACAAATGGTTTGCAGATTGAGGAGGCCTTTGCATTTAGTTTCAAGAAAAAAACTTGGATTTGGGGCCCCAAGCCATCAAACCTCAAGGCAATCTCTCTCTCGGTGTCCAGAGGGTCTTGAGTCTTGACTCAGCAAGGCAACGAAAACATCAGGGGGCACCAACAACATACAAAGACAGCCCGGGCAGACGGCAACCTCAAGGCAATGTAGGTTGGAGTTTGGTCCAAAAATGAAGCCCGCCAGAAGGCGCCTGAAACGTCAAGGCCTTCATTCGGATTCCACGTTCGTGGAACATCACCTATAAAAATCGCCTCCGCACCTTGGGCACTCACAGAAAGTCACACACACAAACAAACCACTTCTTTCAACATGTTCAACTGTTGGCCCTCTTTCAAAGCCAGCGTGGTCTTTCAAAGGCCTTGTAACTCATGCCCCATGGGCAACATCAACACCGGCTTCAACCGGGCTTCCCGTTTCCACCAAACCGAATTCGGAATGCGTGTTGCCCGTCGGGCTCGTTCGGCGCACGCCTCGAAGAGGGCGCAAGTCCCCAGGAAGTTTTGGCGCAGCAACTCCAACCCCGGCAGCAGCTCCAAGCCAATGGTGGCGTGCTTTGCCACCAGCTCCTCCTCCACTCCTCCGGACCGCGACCAAAGCGGCCCGAGGAAGGAAACGCCCCTGTCGAAGGGAATTGGTTAAACAGATCGTGGTTGAACATTGGTTGAACACGGGATTGGCCCAAGCCTATAGTTTTGCCCCCTGGAGGCTCAGTGCGCGCCATGCGCGCGAGCAGACCTGAGCCACTTGCCCCATGCACGCTATGCCTGGCACCAGTGTTTGTAGCTATCCAGCTTGGGTGGCGGGCAGAAACATTTGATACGTACTTTAAATGCCGATCCTATCGGTGGATCAAAGAACCTGCTCGAGCTCCAGGAAGAAATGACGGGTCAATCAGGTATTTTACCCCGAACAGATTGTCAAACGTTTTGCTCGTTAGTCCTTTCAAAAACAAGTTGGGAACGATTGGGGAGACTACCACCCGAGGCTCCTGGGGGTGGAAAAGACGAAGGCCCAGGTATAGCTCCCACATGAACCACCGAGCTGGTCCGGGCCGCCTCGGACGGCTGAAATGGCCCGGCCCCAAATGATCCTTGACCCGACTCAAATGGCTTCCTTGTTCGCAGGGTTGCTCACCTGGAAAAGAAAAGTGACCTGTCGAAATGCTGACGTTTGCCCCTTGCTAAGAGCGCTTCCCGCCAGTACATCTATGTTAGGCAGTGGCAGCCTTTCCTCTCAAAAGTGGACGAAGATAATACCTATAATTCAGTAGGATGCCGCAGGCGGGACACTAGCGCGGAATTCAAAAGCAACAATTCCCGCCATCAGAAGCAAACCCTTCGGCAGCCGAGAACTGCTTAAGCCCGCTTATCATCACATTCTCCTGGGATCTGTTGCTTGAACATGAGACTTGACCAACAGAACTGTTAGACTAGCCCTTGACCACCTAAGCCACCTAGAAATCCTCTACGTTCAACACATTGAAGCATGAGCGGGGCTGTCCACATTGGGAGATTCCGAATTCCGCAATTTAGGGGGGGGGCACCACAAGGGAATCCACTACTACCATCTGAACCCAATTACATAGGTGACGCGCAGAATGCCTTGTTTCTCCAAGAAGCTGCTTTTGTGGGAAGTTTGGCGTCCTCACCCCACATGAACCATGGACTACTGGACACTTTGACCAATTCTCGCCTCTTCAACTCAAACTGGCGAGACGCCAACTTCTGCATTGCCTCGGCGTCGCACCTTACTTGTGCGGTTGCTCTGCCCCAGCTAGGTTTGTTTGCAAGAGAGACAGGGAACAACCGAGCCACCAAAAAAACTAACAAGCAAGCAAACGAAGGAGCGAACCAAAACAGCACACAAACCAGCAAAGAAACAAACAAACAAGCCAACAAACAAAACAAACAAACAAAAAAGAAGAAAACACAAACACAACACACACACACACACAAAAACAAAAACAGCAGCACAAACACAAAACACACACCAAATTGACTGAGACACAAATCCGCCTGGACAAACTCCACCTTCTCACCCCAGGGAGCGGACACAGCGGCATGCGGCACAACGCGGTCCGTTGCCACCACTGGGCGACCTTGGATTAAACCAGGCGCTTGGAACCTAGTCCCCTTAAAATCGACAGGGGGAAATAAACTTATTCTTAAGCAAATGGAAGGTTTCCAGGGGTTTTCATCAAACTTTTGGTCCCTTAGAATGATGGGGGTGCTCTTATCTCCAAAAAACACTTCACCTGACAAAGGGGGCCTCGCGGCGCCCCTGAGCGCCGCTATGGGCACGCCTGAACTTTTGTTGGCTTCGCTCTGCGCACCTGCGGCTTGTTAACAGGATTCTCAAAACCATTTGCCCCTACCAATTTCTACCAAAAGAGCTGTCATCAAAAGCCGCCTCAAAGAAAACCATGAAATCTGCCCTTCAAGGAGAAACATGCCACTTCGGCCGATTGTTCAAGCCCCCCAGCCTGCTTTCACCAAGCTGGTCACAATTTGGCTGCCCAAGCGCCCCGCGGCGCCAGTCACCAGCACGGCATCCATGGCGTTTTTGATGGCGGAAGCAAAAGAGATGGTGTGGTTGTGAGGGAACGCAAAAACCGCTGTGGAGGCATACGTCGGTACATGACCATTGCTTGTGGGGGAGTAGTATTTTTGGGGGAGGAAGCCATATTAGAAGGAAAAGAGTGGAATAGAAACAAACACATGTTGAAGGTTTTCTATTTGATGGTCTGAACCTACCCAAAAGGGGAAAATTGCGGTTCAAAATGACAAAATGAAGGCTTGGACAATCCCGATCCACAAATCCAATGGGAAACCAATCGTTGCAATGAAATCGCTTTTGCATTTATGCATTCTAAGGGCCTAAGGAGCTCAAATGGTGGCTTCCCTGCTAGACAACGCAACCACCCACCCGAACGCCATGGCTGGGCGGGTCCTCTGCTTTTGTGACCTAACTGCCAGGTGGCTAGTTCTTTTTTGCTTTTCCTTCCAACCCATCCAGAAAGGGGTGCTCATTTTTTCAGGCAGGGCCAACAGGTTCTTGATCCGGCCCAGCTGTCAAAGCATCAACCTCGGGTGAAGGGGGGGGAGGCTGACTGTTCGAGCCCCCCACCTCTTCTTCCAAAACCCAAGAAGCCAAATGGAAGATGTTTAGTAGTGTCCCCTTCAAAGGCGACATGATGCGACATGTATCTGGAAAATGTGGTTTTCTTTTGCTCCGGGATGGGTACATGGGACTGAAAACCCCTGTAAGATCGCTTGCCGGGCCCTCGAAAAGGCTTACCCTTGCGTGAAAGTAGATGGCACCGTCTTCCCATGTTTGTTTCTGTAGGCACCTCTCACATCTGCCAGGAATGGTACCATCTACTTTCACCCTGGTGCAGCTGCGAGATACACCGGGGACGCGGTTGGTAGAAAGCCTCTAGCCCCAAGTCAGGTTCACGCATGGCGTTTTAGCGCAATCTTGCTGGTTTTCTGAGAACTGCTTGAATAAACCGGTACATTGACCACATACGAGCGAGCACAAACTGTGTCACTTCATACTTTGATGGCCGAACTTTGTTTGCAGATTCATGCCTAATCCCTGTTCCAATTGCCCAGTGACGCTTGCAAAATGAAACCATGCTTGTGGGGTTGATAAAATTCCTGGCGGGGAACCCGCCAAAACAAAAATTGGATTTTGGGACGGTGCCGCTGAACATGGCGGCACAGGCCTCACTATAGCCCTCATACAGAGTCCAATTTGAAAGGAGCTCCTTCCCTTTTGGGCTACCTCCCTGCTGTCCAGTTGGTGGTTTATCAACCAGTACTCATGGGGTTTCATCCTTAACCGGTGCCAATCGGTGTGGATTTTGTCCATCCACGGTATGCAACCTGGGGTTTAGTCCGGGGTCGGCATGAGAACCACCCAAACTCATTGGCCAACGGAACTGGCACCTTGGTTTGCCCAGGGAGAGGTGAGGCTGAAAAGGGGCTGGACAGGGGCGCCTTTGGCGCCCATTGGCGCCCTTTCATTGAGGAAGCAAAAGGTGGTCTCGTCCATTAGACTCGTTTCAAGGCCTCCACGCGTCCATCCTGATTCTACCGCCAGTCCTGTTGGATCACCCCGGGGAAATCCCAACCCAAACGCCTGGAAGGCCACACGTGGGATCCCAACATCGGGAGACAAACAAGGCCAGGGGACACTGGCAAGGGACGCCTTGAACTGCGTAACTGCGAGGCTCAAAACACATGCGTGATTCCGGCCCAACATATGCAATAAGTTATTGCAGTGATCCAAGGAAAGGAGAAGTGGCCGCCCCTGTTGGGACAGCACATCCTAGTTATGGAAGCCACCGATTGGCCCAACTAATGATCAGAGTCTGTTCATATTTCGCCAACCTTTAGCTACAACATCTGCTACAAACAAATCCAAAACTGTGAAAGGGGATTTCTGACAGGTGGACGTACAGGACCTACGTCCTGGCTTTCGCTCGTTTTACCCCTTCATCGGTGAGCTAGCCCAAAAAAAAGGAGGACGCAGGGGGGGGGGAGAAAACACACACACACAACAAGCAATGATGAACCTATTTAAAAATGAAAATTTAAATAACAATTAAAATGGGGGAATGGTGGGGTGGAAGCACAACAAATGATGAATTCTGATGAACATATAAAAACAAAATGAGAAAGCACCACAAACACAAAACAACAAATCAAAAGACAAACCTATTGAAAATTCAGAAAACCAAAAAAAGAGACAAACACACAAACACAGATCACAAACATACTTCTGAGTTGCCATCGCTTCTGAGCCCCGAACCCGCAGCTGAATTTTCTCCCCCTCCGGCACCACGAAGGCGAAGGTTCCGGTGGAGCCGCTCGGCTGGGCACGTCATGGCACGTCTTTGGGTAGGAGGAAGAAAAGGCGAAACGACTCAAGACAGAAGGAAAGACCGGTGCTTCTCTAGCTCCTCCAGTAGAGAGGTTAGAAAAAGGGTCCCCCTTTTTTTCTGTAGTCTATTTTGGTAGGGGAACCCTCCCCAAAAAAGGGGCAAAAGGGCACTACTGGGGACCTAGTTCTAGTTACCACGGCAAGTCACCAGGTATCTTCATGATGGTTTTCCATGGTTGCCTACAGGTATCGGCAAATCCCAGTGCTCAGTGCTTCTAGCAACCACTGTAAGTAACACAAACTCAAGTCAGAAATACATGGCAAATCCCAGTGCTTCCGGTTGGTTTGGGTACAATTTTAGGTAATCACATATTCTTACCTCTTGGATTTACATAGTTTTCCTGGTTACCTACTATAGTGGCAACTGGAACCTTCTTGGGAATAGATAGAAAAGTAGGTTGCAAGAGTAATAAATGCAGAAATGACAGTAGCCCACGCTCGTATCGAATGATTTGCGAGTGAACGGGCGCATTCTAGTAGCCAACTAATGGAATGTCAACTAATGCCATCAACATGATTGCAGAACTACTGTTGGCCGTGGGTTGTTCCCTGTCCCTTGTTGGGTTGTCCCCCCACTAACGTAGCACCAGCTGAATGGCACTTGGAAGGTCAGTTTCCTCTTGAAGAGGCCCTCCGGCAGGTCCGCTTAAGGGAAGCAAAGGGCAACTGTGGCTGCCACAAGTTCCACAATTTGTACAAGTCCGAAAGGCAATATCAAAACAACCGATTTGTCCTATGGACATGTTTTCTTGCACTGTGACCATTTCCATCTTCGCCCGATGGCCAGCCCTGTGCTTGGAACCTATCTCTTGCTTCTTCATACAGTTTTTCAGGCTGGAATATCCCTTACCTGCAGGAAACGGGTTTTTCCACCAACGAAAAAGGAAACACAGTGGGGTTGGGGGGGGTGGTCTTCCCCACCAACACGAAAAAAGCAAACCAGGGGTTCCCACCAACGAGCAAGTGAAAAACGGTGGGGGTCAGGGGGGGTGTCCTCCAACTCCATCATGGAGCCTCCCCCGGGACCTCGAGCCGTGGCGACGGCTCTGAGGCTTCGACCTGCTTGGCCTCCAGAAATTCCGCATCTATTCCTGGCCACGCGCTGGCCCCAAAAGGGTGGGCGGCGCGGATTCGGGGGGGGGGGGAAGGGGGAAGGGGGGGGTTCTTGGGGCGTGGGAGGGGGTCTGCGTTGAAAGGTTGTGCCGAGAGGTTGGCTACCATCAGAGTATGCCTTCAGGTACAGATTCTGGAAGTGTGTGGGGGCTGTGCCAATGTAACATCCAGGTGACCTAATATAAAGACCCCCTGCTAATGTTTGAACCTCCGTTGTTTAAACGTCCTTCTTTGGGGTTCCCTTGAAAGGGCAAACGGCAAACCCAAACGCTACACCAGGTTCAAAGTAAATGGCGCAACTCCCAGCAATTTAGGATGATATAGTGCCAACATGGGGGAAGTGTGCCGACTTTCGCCCAACTGTCATTCCCTGCTTCCAGGCAGCCTGGTATTTTTACCTCTTGGTTGTACATGATGGTTTTCCCTTGCCTGCTGAAGTGGTAACTTCATGGACTCCTTGGCGGAGCTATGGGGGGGGGCCTACGGGTCTTGACTCCATGACAACTGTTCAGGCAAGCCACTTTTGGTGGCCAGGAACTTTTCTTTTTAACCTCTTGTGTTTTTTTCACGTGATGGAGTTTTCCTTACCCGCTCCAGTGGTAACCATAGGTGGCCTTTTGGAAAAATCGATGGCCCTGGTCAATGGAATAAACCCCATCTAAACCAGGGCCATCACTTTGTAAAGCAAACCAACCAACAAGGACACCTATGGTGGATGGGCGAAATCCTGCACCACTTTGAAACCATGGTTAAAGCCATTGTTTGTTGGTATGTACAGGGGAATCATTCATTCCAGGATTTCTTAGGTGGTGCGAAATGGATTTCGTCCATGCACAGTATGTCCTGCGAAATGTTCATGGCCCGTTTGCCCCAAACGGAGTAACCAATTACTTGCCATCTGGGGATTTTAGCTTCAATTGGTTGGGCCCGGCGGTGGACAACTGGAGTGGCAACTGGAAGCACTGGGATTGACACTGTTTACCTCTTGCTTTTTTACATGATCATGTGATTCTCTTTCCCTTATGGATAAGATCCCCCCATTGCCCCCATAGCCCTTTCTACCTCTTGTTTTTCTACATGATGTTTTTTTCCTCTTCCCCGCCCGAGAACGGTACCTGGAAGCACCGGGATTGACACAGAGAGACGGGGCCCGCTGCTCGTTTCGCCAAATCCGGGCGCCCGCGCTGAGCATCAAGGACTTGACACTGGCGTCGTCGGGCGGCACGGCCTTCATGGCCTTCAGCTCCTGAGGGGCGAGGTCCCCGCGTCCTGTGGACCGACCCTTCGTTTTGTTTTTGTATAATCAGTTGTTTGTTTGTCAGAAAGGCTTTCAAAAAGGAATGTTTTTTGGTGTTATTGAACTACAACACACAAAAAAGGAATTGGGAAAGGCCAGCCAAGGGGAGGTGGCAATAGCTTTTTATATATGTATAATTAGTTGTGACGAAACATGAAAGGAAGGGGAAGGGTAATCAAGGGGAGGTGTCAATGGTGTACACCTAGAGTCCGCATGTTTGTGTTCTTGCACTACAACATAAAAAAGAAGGCTTTTTTTGGTGTATGTATAATTAGATGTTTGTTGTACAGAAAGGTTTTGAAAAAGGAAAGTACGGGGACAGCCAACAAAAAGGGGAGGTGTCAACGGTGCAGAGTCGAATCTAGAGCTGTTTTTTTTTGAGGTTTCGGGGGCGTGCGTCTGCCTCGGAGACCTGTGGTTGGGCTGCGAATGGACCCACAAGGAAATCACCCTTGGGGGGTTCCGCATCCCTCAACCCCGAAAAATGGGACCTTGATGTGTGAGCTTGCCAGAGAACTCTTGCCTGTTCTCAGCAGACCTAGTGGGGCCAAGCCCTATGCTTCACAACATGGAAACGAAAGAATCCTTCTTCTCGAGTTTGTGAGCCCAAAATGAGTTGCACAAAATCTGATACTGTGCCCCGCGAAATTTTCATGCCGGAATTGCCCCGAACGGAGTCACCAAGTACTTAAGCCATCTGGGGGTTTAAGCTTCAATTGGTTGGGCCCCCTGGTGGACATTGTAAAGAAAACATGGTGGGCTTATGCGCGCGAACCGCTTGGAGTGTTTGGCAGACCTCTCCTTTGAAGTTCCTTTCAGGATTGCAACCATCCCCTATGAGATCGCCTTTATGAAGCGTCCATCCTAGCTCCCCTGCCCACAGCACACAGCACTACCTCTGCCCAAATCGTGCATGCACACTGGGCTGGCCAGGCAAGTACTAGGCTTTCTGCAGTTCCTTCAGGTTCCCGATGTTGTGTTGATCCAAGCTTTCCTTTTGGCTTCTCAAGGTGAGGGGAGCCTATCCCTCACCCCCACCCCCCGCCAACCCCCAAAACCTCGAGGCCTCTGGCCATTTCCCGCGCCTCCGTCAAGCGTCTCGCCACGAAAGAGGAGCACTGCTGGCCGCCGTGGCCGTCAAAAACGCCGAAGAAGCCTGGCATGTCCCAAACCGCCACCCCAAAATCATAGCCCTCTAGGGATGTCTTCCATTTCCTTTCTTTCCAGGGATCCTTCTTTGCAGGACACCATCAAAACCCCAGGGAACACAGCTGGTTTTTGAAAAGAACGATGGTTGAAAAGAATGGGAAATCACCCCCTAGAAGCCCTGGCGTCCACATCTTTGTTCACTACCCCACGGCAAGCTCAAAGCTATTTCAAGGATAAAGTGCACATTTCTCTGGGCGAAAGTCCTTAAGCTGCATGACCGGCATGTAGTCAAGCAGAGAGGCTCACCAAAGCAATGGGCGCGGAGATGAACTAGATGTTTGGAGGTGTCTTCTTCGGAGGGTGCCCGTGTTGGGTTCAGTTGACCAAAACAAAAACAACAAATCTTTAGGTTCGCCGGTTTAGAGCTAAGCCCATTCGTGAAACATAGAAATCTAGCAGCAACTGCCTTCCTTTGAATTGCCTACTTGCCTCCTGGACCACAGGCAGTTCCAAGCAAGTCGCTATGGACGCTAGTCCGCCCCCAGTTTCTGTATAACACATGTGTATACATATTTATATATATATATATGCATACCTTGGCAGAGGCGGTTCTGCATAAACACCTGTTTTGACATTTTGGGTCCAAACGGGCTTAAAACCCCGGACAACCCCCTGGACAAACCCCCGGACAACCCTCCGGACAGCTTTGAGGGCACAAAATCGGCGGGACAACTCCCCGGACAAACCCCCGGACAACCCTCCGGACAGCTTTGAGGGCCCAAAAAACCCGGGACAAACCCCCGGACAAGTCTTCGGACAGGTTTGGAACACGCCAAAACCACTCGGAAACCACTCGGAAACCACTCGGAAACCGCTCGGAAACCGCTCAGAAACCGCTCGGAAACCACTCGGAAACCGCTCGGAGGGAAGTATTCTCGCGGGAGGGGGGGTTTGCAGCATAAACCTCGGCAAAGTGCGTGGACAACCTTCCGGACAACCCTCCGGACAACCCCCCGGACAACCCCCCGGACAACTTGCCGGACAGTTGTTTGTCCAGCAGTCTGTCCCGCACTTTGTCCGGCACTTTGTCCCACACTTTGTCCCGCACTCTGTCCCGCATATCGAGGGGGGTGTTTATGCAGAAGGGCATTCGTCAATGCATACCTATATAGATATTATATATATATATATATCCAATCGCTTCAGAGCAAGCTGGAGTGCGGCACACCTGAGGTAATTAATTGCTGGGACCCCAGCTTAGGGCTCAAACTCACGGCAGGGTCAGGCTTTAGGCTCGCGAAAAGGACCTGTCTGGAGTGCCTGGAAATGTCCATGGGCCATGCCAAGAGCATGGCCCCTTAATGGGTGGGGAACACCGCGGAAACAGCTGTCAAATGGTCATGGGCAGCTAAGCCTGGCCTGATAAGAGGCACGGAAGTTGAAGAGATGTAACCCATGGGCTCCAAGCGAATCGCTTGAAGTCAAGAAAGGACTCCCTCTAATTTAGGCAACCAGAAGCGTTTGAAGCCCATCGAACGACATAAAGTTAATGAAGGACCCCCTCTTGAGCCGGAACCAAAGTTATCCGAACCTTGCCAGGCGATCTGTCTGGGATCTCTGCACGCAGAGACACCTATCTAGCTCTCCCCAAAGGCCATAGCCCGTGAAAGCGAGCCGCAACCTCCATTTTCTTAAGTCCCCAGGAACCCAAAACAAAACCATTTTCCAGTGACCGATTCCCTAAACCGACGGGGGAAATAAGACATCTTCAGCAAATGGAAGTCATACATGGGATGGGGGACTATGCTAGGCATTTGGGCGAGGCACCGCTGTCCGGTTGTCAGATCTCCGGCAAAAAGTTGAAGCGTTTTAGTGGGTCAACTGGAAACTCAACCACTAAACCCTAAAAATCCATAAAAACCTAAACGGATGGCTGGGAACCGCCAAGTGAACCCCCGTGCCGAACGTCAAACATGTTGTGTGTTTAACAAAAAATGATACATGCGCCGCAAGGCAAAAGGTGACACCAATACACATGTATCAGAACGCGGGGCAATTCTGTTTGTTAAAGGAACCAACTAGAAACCGCAAGCCGTAATAGGGTGCGCGCATGCCACACAGCGCATCAACGTGTCGGATGCACCCCAGGAATCCTGCCTGCAGTTCTTTGGCCATAGTCAGCCGGGTTTTGGCAGCAAGCTAAGTTGCAACTATTGGCAACCCAACCCAACTGATTAATTTACCCCAGATTCACCGGGGGGGTCCCATTTTAGAAGGAATTCCCCACTGTTTGGGGGAACATCCCGCTATGAAACTGCCAAGAAAACCGTAAAATTGGAGTATCGCTTGGTTGTTCCGTTTGTGGCAGATGAAGGCTCCGTTGGAATCGCTGATTGGGCAAAATGCGTCACACATCTCTGCCCTAGCCTCCTCTTCACAAGGGCCACAAGGGCTTGAAAATCCTAGTGGTTTGAACATGTTTACGCATGCAGGTGGCCCAATCCTTTTAACTCCGGAGGCTGTGGCGGACCCTTGGAAGCTGGGCCAACCCTGGCCTATTCCAACACCAGCTCACGGAGCTGGGTGGAATCCCCTAATCCAGGGGTGATACCCCTTTTACATACCTCTTGGACAAAAGGCCTGCTGATGTTCATACCTCTCTCCCCAAAAAGAGTATATACCCCTTATAAAGTAGGTTGGAAACCACGGAAGTCAAGGGGTATGAACCAGGGGTATGTACTTCCCCCGTTATGCCCAAGCGTTCTCAGCCCCCCCCCCCCACGGCCAGGCGCTGAGATCGGGGCATGAAAGCCACGTGGGCATCCTGGCGCAGTCGCCCCTCCCTCACGTCAGAAGGCGAATCATGAGAACCTGGCTGTGGCATCAAAATAGGTGGTGCATGGGTGTTCATCCGCCCCAAAAGGGAGGCATAGGTTATGACCCATGGCCATCTCTGTGTTGGCCTAACCTGCACAAAGAACCTACAAGATAGGCCAACCTTGTCACACCTGCATTCCAAAATTGGGAGAACAAGAAAAGCCCAGAGATTCGAAGGTCGGCTTTGGGCAACTGAGCACCTTAACTCAGCATGTGGTGCTGAACCCACTGGGAATAAAGCGGGTCCAGTGTTTGGAGGGTGCCTATGCTGACCTTGGTGTCCAAGGAAATCAAAAGGCAAGCCAGCTGGGCCAGCACTTGTCCCCCCTCACCCCTCCCCCATTTTTGGAACACGCCCACACCACGGCACCAACCCCGGCACCGCCTGGCCTCCATCGAAGGCCTCCAACCGTTCATCTCCGCGACTCCCATGCGGAATGGCGCCCCAGCCTTGCACAGAACAGGCAGGCGTTTTGGTCTTTGGCGGAGGGCTCAGGAAACTTTTCCGCATTTCCAACCCACAGCGCCTGACCTAGCCGAAAATACCTGCAATCCAGCGCATCGGAGCCCACTCCTCCTGGAAATGCCACCCGCAGACTGGGCCAAATTCCAGCCCCACCCCCAATCCAAGATCCCCTCTCCCCGTTGCCACTTTCCGTGGCACGCATCCCACCCAACCACCCCTGGCCACTCCACGCATGCACCCACCCAGTCATCCCTGGATCATCTTGGGCCGCGGCATCCTCTTCCAAAATGATGGAGGTGACTGCCTTTGGCAGGCTCTGCCCCATTGCGGCACCTCGGGCGCCGCAAAAACGAAAAACAAATTAGAGAGATTAGAATAAGGGTGCCCTTTTTGCTGCGTGGTCTATTTTAGCAGGGGAACCCTCCCCAAAAAAGGGCAAAAGGGCACTACTGGGGAATCTAGAATACGACCAACAATTGTTGGAACATCAACCCGTGCACCCACCTTTCTGGTGCGATAGGTAGGGAATGACCCCAGGGTGTTGGGAATAAAAAAGGGTTTTCCTTCAAGGAAACCATAGGGGATGGTGTTTTTTCGGGGTCATTCCAACACCACTCGCCAGAATGTTCCTTTGGTTTAGGTTCGTGGCCTCGAGGGGATGTGTGTGGAACCAAAATCAAACTCCCATCCCTGCAACTGCTTTGTCATGTTGAAGGGGTTCCCTCTATCACAAAGTTGCCCGAAACCCCCGTGTTTCCCATAAACAAGGGACCTTCCAGAAATGCACATGCAAGCAGGCTAGCATGCTACGTTTCTAATCGGCAATGGCCATTCCCTGCACCTCCATGAGTGTCGTGTGTCGGTCAAGGTCATCTGCTGAAAACAGGCTCGAATCTCGTTGTCCAAGCGGAATCCTCATGCCCTCCGCAACTCCGTAAGCTTCCATCAAGGCGTTTTGGCCTCGAATGCGACTCTTTGCCAGGCCCCGAAATGGGAATGTGTCGAAGAAAAAAACACTTCAAATTGGTGGCCGTCCTTTTGGTTGCCAACAAAAAGGAAAAGGGTTCGAATCAGGCGCTTCTCGGCAAGACTCTCATTCTTCTTGGGGCTCTCCTGTCCCCTGGGCCTGAGTGCGGTAAGTTTCAGGGACCTTGGCACAAGCCGGAGGCATGACGTTCCCAGCTTATGCCCACAAATCCAGAACTACCCAGAAATGGAGCAACATCACCGAATCCTGAGCTTCTTCCTCTTACTTAGTTTCTGGTCACCTGGAAATTAAAGGAGACTTCCGCCCCCAAGGGGGGCATACGGGGTAGAAAACCCATCCTGCACAGTCGGTCCCTTCAAGGTCCGGGCGTCTATGTCGCACTGGATCCCCTCTTCGGCATTGTCTGAGCACTAGCCGGCCGGGTACAGGGTCACAGTTGCACGGCTCACGCGCTGGCAAAGCACCTACCTACAGCACCTGGGGAATCTCAACTGGTGTTATTCAGCGGCTCAACATTCCAATTAAATAGAAGTGGATGGCACAATGTCCTTTCAGACGGAAAGGAAGTGTGAAATGACAGAACCAACATGGGGACGTTGTGCCATCTACTTTCATCCAGTTGAATTTCTTCTTCCTTGTTGCCTGCAAGACTGGTTCCCCAAACGTTGCGCATCAACACAGTGATCTCACCATGAACTACTTGCATCATGCACTACATGCTGCGGCCAGCTCAACTGCAAGGTCTTTGGGGCTCGTGACAACCAACCAGTTGCCCTGACGCAAGGGGAAAAGGTTTCGTGGCTATCAGCCCTGGCAGCTGTGGATAGGAGCCTCGCATTGAACCGGGCTGAATCGAGGATGCCCCCAAGGAGGTGTATCACGAGAAGCGGAGCACTAAAAAGCCGGACGTGCGTTGATATTGGAAGCCAAAAAGATGAGTCGCAAAATGTCACAAAGCTTGGGACTGTGAGGGGATCCCAAAATCATCGGCCAATGAGGCGTTGGAGCGGTCTGGCATTTGTCCGCGCTGCGGCTGCCAGTTGTACCCAGGCCAATCCCTGAGCCACGGCCCGCGCAACGCTTTTGATGCCATCATTCTGAGTGCATCGTCGTCTCTTTGCGGGGCGGGGCACCACGAGCTTGTCGAAATTGAGGATGTTCCAACAATCTGTGTGGTTCCAATATGCGCCTGAGCCCTGGAAATTCGGGGGTCAGGGACGGCCCCCAGGCAAAATGCACCAAACCATCCACCTCCTTGTGGCTTCAATTTGGGTAGAGTTGACAGTCATGTGTCATTTGTTCAGGCAAGGATGCCCCAGTGGAATCCACGAACTCTTGCACTCTACTTCCACCCTTCTTGCGCTGAGCCCCCCGATGGGACATTGAGCCCCCTCAGCTTTTGACAGTCTTCCATGAGCTCACTCGGGTACGCACCGGATGGGCGTCTTGAGGGCTCCGCATCGATACACCTGGCCGGACACTGAGAAGTAGCCGCAGCGGCTGAGGTGCGCGAACCCGTCGAGGACGGTGGATTGGAACATGTTGTTGCCTTGGCGCCAGGAGGCCTTCAACGACAGTTTCGTTGTGATTGTGAGGGGGTCAGATTTCTTGATGTTTGTGGCCTGTTGCGCGTGCGTGTGCGCGTGTGAGTGTGCGTGTGCGTGCCTGCGTGCCTGCGTGCCTGCGTGCCCACTTGCGGGTGCGCGCGGGCGGGCATGGGGGGGGCGGGCGGGGGCAGGGGGCGGGCGGGGAGTTTCGCGTGGTTTGGTTGGCTCAGAAGCGACGGAAGCGCGAGGAGGCAGAAAAAATATGGTCAAGCAGGAATCCGCCGGTTATTGACGGCGCGCGGGTTTCGCGCCGTTGGGTTGGCTCAGAACCGACGGAAGCGTCGCGAGAACGAATCCGCCGGCTAGCAACGGTGTGCGAATTTCGCGCCGTCTGGTCGGCTCGGAAGCGACGGAAGTGCGGCGCGTTTAGCGACGGCCGAAGATTTCTGCACGCGCGAAATGCCACAGCGCCAAAGTGTCTTGCTCACAGCAGGCAACGCCCGCCAGAGCCTGCGACAAGATAAATTTTGGGAAAGCTAAATGGCTTGCCCCCTGACCGCTTAAAGCCTCCCGCGAGGGGCGCTGCAAAATCCAGAAAATCCCTTGGCCGCTTAACGGCGGCCCAAAGTTTCCGGCCGCTCGGAAGCCCAAACACGAGGGATGGCCTTAGGCCGTTTAGCGTCGGCTGCGACAACTCTTGAAGGTTAATGTGACCTGGGGAGCAAAAGAGAAGGAAAGGGGGGGGAAGGGCCACGCGATGTGTGCTTTGCCAAACAATAGGCTCAAGACTGGCCATGGAGGCGGCGCGAACCCGCCGGCGCGCCGGGGCACGGCAAACACTTGCCAGACTCCGGCGCGGGGTGGAAGGACGGCCGTTCAGCTAGCAAGGTTAGGGTTTGAAGGAGCAAGTCAACGAACAGCCCCACGCCCTGCACAGGACACGTCACCACGCCGATTGCGGGTGTTCTGGGACGACTGGAGTTTGCGCGTCGCCATCGAGGTGTGGGGGAAGTGGTTCCTTGGCAGTGAGGAGATCAGGGCCCGTGCCGCAGACCGGCATTTGGACCGACTTGGGCGGCGTCGCTGGGCCGGGCCAAGCTCCGTGATCGCGGGGCCTCTTGCCCCATTCCTTTTCCCTGCACCGTTTTTTTCGGCGACTGCGAGCATGGAAGAAGGCGGGCGAAACGCTTTGGCCGCAAAGCTCGAAAAGCTCGCGAAAGAACACCCTCCTTTTTTCCCTCCTTCCTTGCCCGCGCGTGTCACTCAATCTCCGCGCGGCCTGCAGCACCGCCGCTTTGAGCTTGCTCGCCCCTCATCTGAGCTCTCAGGGCGCGGCATCCGACCTCAACGAAGAAATCGAGGCCGTCTTTTCGCTGGAGCTGGAGTCGTCACGAAAGACCCTCAGCGCACAAGGAGCCGCCTCTCCCGCGCCATCTGAGGACGCAGCCGTTGTCACGTCGGTCTGCGGAGCGTCCTTCATCGTCCGCCTCCTCTTCGCTCAGCAAACTCACTCTGCAACTGGCGGGTCGTCCTCGAGAAAGCTCTATAGCTGCGTCGCAGAACTCGCGAAACTCCGCCCGGTCGCGCGCCAAGCCCCAGAGCCTGCGCAGAAGCAGCCGTTCTAGCTTGAGAAGGTGCCGTGCCTCGGACCCAGCCTCAGAGGCGTGCCCGGCGCACAGGCGACGCCTCCCCACTCGAAGCCGCGCCGCCTGAAGCAGCACAAGCATTGCCTCGGCGTACTTTGCCCTAGACGCAGCTCCGACAGCGCACTCGTTGCAGAACCGAATCCCAAAGACGGATCGCGCCGCTGCGAGCCAAGCGAAACAGCTTCATGCCCTATGCCTTCTTCTCGGTTTTTTCTCTTGCTGTCTAAGGGGGGGGTGATCCAACCGAAACTCTGACACTAACTTGCCCCGCGCTTTTTCTCTCGTTCTGCAGTCAAGCGAAAGCCTCGAACAGCCGCGCAAGGCAGAACGCGAGGGAGGGCGGTCGCTTCCCCCTCTGCCGCCGCAGCGCTCTGCGGACGCTTTGCGCTCGCAAGCGGACACTGTTTCTGTGCCGAACTGCGAGTGACTGCGTGCACGCTCGGGCGCCCCTGCCCATTCGGCTCCAGCGGCGAAGGGCCTGAGAGACCACTTCCCAGCCTTCGCAGAAGTCGCACTGCAAGCCCTGCAAAGGTCTTCAGAACAAAGATCGGGCTTACCCACATCTAAATTAAGCGCTAGCATGCCCAGCGTTGGAAGCGTGCCACATTTGTGCGAGCAATTCGATAGGCGTCCACTTCCTCCCCAGCCATGGCGGGAGCAAGACAGCTGGCGCTTAGCGGCTGCGACGGCCGTTCAGCTTTTGCCTGTCAGCTTCTTCCCCTCCCCCGCAGACAGACCTCATCGCCTCGAGCTGCCCCACTATTTTCGGAGACCTTACGGCGCAGTTAAACGGCCAAACCGTTCCACCGCGTCGCAAGCGCCAGCGCGTCTGGAAAATCGCTGGAGCAGCGGGCGTTCTTGACTCGATGCCGGAGCTGGGCGAAAAAGTGGCGGGCAGACCCGCTTAAGGGCAGCGCGGCGCAGGCTTGGCGGAAGACGCCTGACGACTTGGAGAAGCTAAAGGAGGCCGTCGTGGAAGCCATCCTTGACAAGGCAAAAAGCAATCGCACAGCGCGCAAAAGGGCCACCGAACGCCGAGGACAGCCGCAGCAAGGACGCAGACACCGTCGAGCCCAGCGCGGACGATGAGACAAAGGAACAAGAGAAAGAAGACGGCACGCAAGGCAGGCCGCGAAGCGAGCGAGGCCCTCCAGCTCCGAGGCCGCCGCGGCGGAAAAGCGCAAGCAGAAGAAGCGAGGCGAGGAGAAGCCGCCCTCCCAGCAGCTCGGCAGAGGCGGCCCGCGAGGCGACAAAGAAGAAGCCTGCTCAGGAGAAAAGAAGAAGATCTCGGAGTCGCGCAAAACGCGACGAGACCCCGCCGCCGTCTTCAAGCGCTTCCGAGAAGGCCCCGAGCCGACGCAGCAAAGGGTTAGAGAAGAAGCCGCCGCTGCTGACGGAAGACAAGAGGGCGCGACAGGACAAGAAGAAGAAGGAGCGCGCGTCTTCGGTGCGGCCGCGAAGCCAACCGAGAGAAGACGAAGGGTGAGCCGCTGTCTCGCTTGAGGGTCCTTCGCTGCACTGGCGTCAGTGGGTGGGTGGGTGGGTGGGTGGGGTGGGGCGGGGTGGGGTGGGGTGGGGTGGGGTGGGGTGGGGTGGGGTGGGGTGGGGGGGCGGGGCGGGGCGGGGCGGGGCGGGGCGGGGGGGGTGGGGCGGGGCGGGGCGGGGCGGGGCGGGGCGGGGCGGGGCGGGGCGGGGCGGGGTGGGGTGGGGTGGGGTGGGGTGGGTGGGTGGGTGGGCGTGCGTGTCTCGGTAGGGGGGAATCATGTCTGTACACCAGGCAGGTTTGCGCGGTCACGGGTGTAATCCAAACCAGTAGCGTCCAACGAGTCCCAGCGGACTTGTGAGGATGCTGGGTTTCAACGCGCTAGAACACTGGATTGCCCCTGCAAACGTTACTCAGTAGATTCCAAACAAACAAAAAACACACTTTTGAGAGGTCCCAGGGTTGAGCAAAACCTGGCTTGAACAACCAGCCTGAATTCAATCAGGGAAGCCCAAAGGGTGGTTGTTTAAACAGCTTAAACCAGGGGCATGGGGCCCTCAAAGATTGGGTGCCGTTTGAGTTCCCTTCAAAGGCCATCGAAAAGGGGGTCGCGAATCATATGACATCATGCCGGGGTTGATCAAAAGGTCCTTTACATGGGATGAGCGGTGGTTGGAAAACCACCATAGAAAAGGTGATACTTCAGCCGCAAAATTGGGTCATTTGGGGGCCGAACGGAAGATTGAAATCAACCTCTGTGTTTCCAGACGTGGGCTCTTCAAAATGGAGGCTTGGAATTCTGATCCAATGATCCACCCCCAAATGCACATGCAGGAAGCCCAATCCTCTCTTCAAGGCTTACTCACTTCCGAACAAGTGGATTGGTCCAGACCCAAAAATAATAAAGTCCAGGAACTCGGGAAGTGACCTTATGGATTGCCTCTGAACACTCCACTTTCTGCGGGTAGCATGGGAACAATTGTGAGGACACATCGCCGTCAGCGAAACCAGCGCCGAAGGACAGGTCAAGGGAAAGCTCTCACTGACAAGGGCAGGGCAGGAAAGGGTCCAAGCTTCTTCGTCCGCCCTGTTTGGAAGAAGCTTGGCATATTTGGGCATGCATCCAAGAGCAACTAATTCCACACTTTTAGAAGGCCCGAAGAATCTTCTCCAAGAGACTCTTTAAGAATAGCTGCCCGTGTACACAGGGAACAAGCAGGACCTCTGAGACTCTGGCAGTCATCATGGATATCCGCAGCCTCACATCCCTTCGGAGCCTCCTTGTACTTGTGCGGCCAAGCTTGGCAGTGTTCGTGCTCGCAGCACGCTTCATCCGTGGTCCCAGGGGTATTGTCGATGTTGGGCCGCTTGACCATCTTGTCGGCTGCCTGGAAAGCGCAAGAAAACCAAGGCGCGGACGATACCCGACCCCTGACAAAGGTACCCATGAGCCCGGGATAGATCAATAAGCATAGCATGAAACACCAAGAAAAACACTTTTTGTGCACATGTCGTCCCTTTTAAAGGGGGGGACCAAACCGTCACAACCAAACCTGGCACGGCGAAGTCCGACGGAGGGGCACAAAGCGCTTCATGGAGGTTTTGCAATGGCCCTTCACCAAGCTGAATCAACCATACATGGGTGCACCTTAAACAATCATTAGGGGCCCGGGGACCCAGAAACTCTGCATTTTTCCCGTTGGTCTTCTTGACATCGGCAGCCCGAACATGGGCTAACACACACAAAGGAAGACAGAACCCGGCGAAATTTGCCAAGCTCCAGCGAAGGTCGCCGTTGTTCAAAATGGGGGGGGGGATCCCGGGACAATGCGGATTGAGATTGAGAGATTGAGCCCAAATTCAAAGGAAACCAATCACCTGGAGAGGGTTATAAAACGCACGCGCACACACAGACCCAAACTCTCGATCGCAGGTAACATGGCTTTTTTTGGGTCCCTTGCAGCCGAGCGGCGCAAAGGTGAGAGCTGCAAGTCTCAAGGCAGCATGCCTCATCAGAGGCACCAGCCAGGTTTTCCTTCTCCTTGTTGAGGACCCAGCCTGAAGTGACAAACATCAAAGGTTCAGCGTCAAGGATCGAAGCTGGGTGTTGCTTGTAGCTTGCTTTTGCATCCCTTGGACATATCCCCGCAAAGGGTACCGATCAAAACAAAGTCCGGGTTTTCATGTATTGCATTCGTGGGCTTTGTTTGCACAACTATGGCCCAGGGCCAAATTCACCGATTTCGGTGCATCCTTCAGCTCTGAATCCGAACCCCTGAGAGCCAGGCCTGCACTTCAAAGTTGCAAAGACCACTGGAGATAGGCAATATCTTGGTTGCTGCAACGACTCCTCTACGAGAGGTTCAACCTTCTGTGGCTTAATTGGAAAACCCTTGATATCCCAAAAACTTGAAGCCTACATCTTGATTTAACGCAATAGCGATCAAGATGTGCCAGATTTACTATCCATCAACTCACTTCACAGGGTGCTGCCATCTGCAAACAAAAATGCCCACATGCTATGGGCAGCGCGCGGATCTGGGGTTGATGGTAGGAAACCGAACCAGAAAGCCTTAGCCGCTTCACATTAAAAGGTACCTAGCGGTATGTAAGTCCGGAAGGTTCGGGGGCCAATGAATCCTCTGTGCAACATCGAGTTAGGCCCTCCCCACAAAATATAAACTAGCTTCCTCGGGTCACATTCGGCACATGTAACACGTGAGCATGCGCCGCATTCAAATCATCCCCTGCGAATCGAACCAGAAATGCCTCATGAGCAAGCCTTCGTTTGGACACATGCGCCAATGTAGGCTTTTCGACGATGATTCTTCGGGATGCAACTCCCCCAACATGTTGCGAAGCCCCTGTGAAACGCATTGCCCTCTCTCTCTAATTATAAAGACATAGGTATGTAGATACATATGCACATGTATGTGTACACATATAGTTATATATATATATATATGCAGTAAACTGAGCCAGGGAATTCCTCGGCTTTTACAAGGATCCTTCATTTCTTCGAACCTGAAACCAATCATTTAGATAGTCCCAAGCCCAAAGGGTGTCCCCAACACCCCGTGCCCGGAACCTGCCCTCCTCCCCAAACGGAGCTGTCCCTGGGAAACCCCAAGAAAAAAATCAAACCCTGAAATGTCTAGGTCTATTGGACAGCAATGCATGGGCAAGGTGTTTAAATGCAACAGCTAAAAACCACCAACCCCCACCCCCCCCCCCCCTCCCACACACCCCACACCCACCTCCGCGCCTGCGCTGCAGGTATGTTGCTTGCAGGTTGCTGTGCAGCACTCCGTGTCGTTGCTCCCCACCACTGCGGCTTTGGCTGGGTCCTGGGGGGGGGGGGGGTTATCAAAGGAAGTCCCTTGCGGTGATGTCCCTTTGTTGGTGTGCCCCTCTTCCGGACACGCAACAAATACACCATCCACATGCTGGATGGGTCTATTTTGGACTGTGTCCAAACCTTGGCTGGCCAACTGTCATAACCAAGTTCTCTGCAATCGTGATGGATCATAAGAATCCAATTGGAAATGATTCCTGATCCAACCTTCGAGGGCCGCGTCACAAAATTCGTCCGGAACCATTGCTTGGCATGTCGGCAAACATCTACAAATATGGTCTTTGCACCCCCCCACTCAACATGAACAACAGCACAGCAGTAAAAACAAGCAACACGATGAGCTACATATGCCCATTAGGATTAGATTGTGCTAGCAGGACATTTTCCTTGGGTCAGGGGGAAGGGGTGCGGCTCGTATTTCTGAGACCCAGTACTCGTTTTAGGCTGCGCCTAAAAAACTGAGTCCTGAGCCCAGCCATCCGCAGGGTCGCACTTGTGCAGGGCGCAGGTCTTCAGGCAGCAATCTTCATCTGTGTCCTTCTCCTGTGGATCCCATCTTGAGTCAGGAACACTTCCTGAAAGATGGCCCCAACCAGCCCAAAGCTTCTCTCACCAAAGGGGAAAAAGGCCTAAAGGTTAGAGAGTCCCCCCCCCCGCCCTCTCCACCCCTCCCCCTCCCCCTCCCCCTTCCCCTCTTTCGGAGTCATAATTTGTTTTGTTGGAGTCTGACTTCCAAGTGGTTGTTGCTTTTCCAGTTGTGTTGTTGTTGTTTATTTGTGTTGTTTAATTTATTTGCTGAATCTGGGCCTCTCTATCGAACTAGAACTCTCAAGCCTAGAGCTGTAAAATGGGGCTGCGGGGTGCGGTCAAGAATAAGTCATGATGATACAAGGTGTTCTGGCTATTTAGCTCTCAGAAACTCAGGGGGAACGAGGGGTAACGCGTCCAGATACCTCCTAGCCTTCCATTTGTGGTATTGAGTTCATTCAGAGCGTATCCCTCCGCCGATTGCATTTTTTCATGGGTGGGGATGGTGCAACGCACACGACGCCCGTTGGCCAGTCAACCGTCCTTTCGGACGGGGAAGGTGCGGGGGGAGTTTCGCACGACATGGGCATTGCGGGCCAATAAGACCTCATATTCCAATCCCGGGCGAGAGGTGTCAGCCAAATGCCCAGCCAGGATTAGTCTCAACTGGGCGGATAAGGTTGCCTTCAGACCGAAGGATCCCCTACATGGGACCCGGTCACTCAACCCAGAAATTTATCAACGGGTTCCCAGAACAACACGTTCCCATTAGCTGGCCACAAAGTCTGGGACCAGACCAAGGGATTTCCTGGCTATCCGCTTTTGTTGGTTCTTGAAAGGAAACGCTTCCCCAAAAAACAGAAGGCGGGCCCCAGGTTCCAGGAATGACTGGCTTGCTGAGTTCACCAAGCAGCTATGCAGTTTGCAAGATCAAGCGAACCTGGTCCCAAGTTGCAAGTTTGCTAGCCTGGGAAGGCTAGCCCCGTATTGCACCTGGCGGATTCTTAGTGGTGCATTCCTTCAAAAATAAAGGCGTCCCACCAGCTTGGGCTGCTCCCGCAAAATAATAATAATAATAAGCACAAGTGGTATCTCCAACAGGTCCAGCATTTCGCGGACCCTGCCAACAGGGGAACATCCAGCAAACCCTCGGCGCCTAAAAGTGAACCTGCTGAGTGGCCCTGACATGTCGTTTTTGGTGTGGCTTCTCCTTAAATGGGGTAGAGGGGTAAGCTGGATATCACTTCGCGGGCCCAGCAACGGGTCCCTGTGCCCCACGACAGCCGTCCTCCGACAGCGTCGCTGGATTTGAGACCCAGCCTTCGCCACAGGCGTGCCTGGCCGGGTTGGGCAACACGCTGCGCCTTCTTCAATCATGGACCCCCAAGGGGGGCTATGGGGGCTATCGCTATCGCTTGCCCTTTGATATGGCCTTTTTAATGGCCTGTCCAATAGCCCAGCCCTGGTGGCTTCCATGATTCAAGCCGCTGGTGGCCCACATCTGGGGCGCATAGAACATAATATCTTCAGACTCTGATCTATACTCACTTCCTGAGTGGACTGGCCCAAACAAAAAGAGTTCTGAACTGTTTCAAAAGAAAATCAAGGTCATGAACTCAGGAGGTGAGTATATGTTTGATGTACCCCACAATTACAACATATGTTTGGAGGAGACCGGGCCCCGGTGTTCTCACTTCCGAGCCGCAAGTCTAAACTTGTTCTGCCACTACGCTGGTCTCCCCGGACGGCATGGAGTCCAGGCACGGGAGAGAGTTTAAGCCGCTCTGGATTGAACAGCCCCGCCTTTTCCGCCTTCTCTTCAACTTCAAGGATTCATAACCCCCCTGGTTGATTCCTTTTGGGGGAGGTGTCCCATTTCAGAGGGACCCTTGCATTTGTGTGTAAAACCCATCCCTGCAGCAGCCTGCCACAGGATTTTTCGTCCAGGGTCAGCAAGGCAAAGCTGGGCATGGGCCAACGTAGGGTCACCCCCCTCCTGCAAAATTGTGGCGTTCCTTGTGACTTCCCTTTAAGCCTGCTGCTTGAACTACCTCCTCTTTGGTTTCCATTGATGTTGACCTAGGACTAAGACCCCCACTGATTGACATGGTTTCTTTTGGAGGCAAAGGGGGCTTGGGTTTGTTTCAACAACACTCTCCGAAGTCCAGTGGCTGTGGGAAAGAAACATTGGCACCCTTGTCTGTAAAGGGTGCTGAAAGGGACGGATTGCAATTCAAGGGTGCCAAGGGCACTCTCTTCAAATTCAAGGGCATAGAGGCTCTCTCAATCAGTGGATTTGGAAGCCCACTGAAAGGGGCGATGGGGTACTTAGTAAGTGGTTAGCAAGCCTGGCGAGGGAACCCACTCAGGAGACTTATAACCTTGGTAGGTGGGTGCTAACCAGGCATGCTAGCCACTTACTAAGTACCCTGCCCCTTTAAGAAACCCTTCCCAAAAGTGAAAAGAAAAGGAAACAATCCACGAGTCAAATTCGACCCCCACCCCCCCACCCCCTCCCTCCCCCCCGCGAGGGGACTTCGAGCCGCGAGCTCCACGGCTCGCCTTTTGCAGGTGGCCAGGCAGCAGGTGGGGTCGTCACTGGGACCCTTCGCCGCCGCCGAGGGGTTCCGCTTCCAGCCGGCAGCGGCATCACACTCGTGGAGCCTTGGAGGGGTCTCTTGGGGTCTTGTGGATGGTTGCGAAATCCCAGACCGCACCACTAAATGAGACCATGGTTGAAGCCACTGTCTGTTGGTATTTGCAGGGGAATCCATCCATTCCGTTGGGTTTCTTAGGCGGTGGTGCAGGCGCTCCATCCACAGTAAATAGCCCTTCGGGGGTCTTGGTGGGCATCCAACACGCCAAGGACATCTGCTAAGTGGCTCATCCCAATCCCCACTAAAATAGGCTAAAATGGATGCACCTGCCCCCAAGATGGTACCATGGGTCAAAAAAAACCGTACCCATAAGAGGGCGCTTTACACTTTCTAGGTGCGGTTGGCCAGCAGGTGACTGGCCCGAATCTGCTCAAGAGGTTGCGGTTTGACCCCCCGTTGGGGGTGGGTGATATCGGCCCGTTGTTTGGAACGTGTGTTATGTCAATCGCGCTTGCGACACAGAAAGGGCTCAGGTTTGGTGACTCCGGCCGATGGCCAAAGGATGGCAACCTCTGTAGAAACTCGTCTGTCAAAATCAGACCAGCGGTGTGCGCTGCAAGCGCCACAGCAAACTTGCATGGGGACACCCGATTCAGGCGACTTAGCAAAGGTGCAACTTGAGCTAGCCTTCCGTCTGAGATGTCATCATGGCTTCCAACACATTGCCAAGTGCCCAGATTGCATTACCTGCCCAAATCCCGTGCCAAGATCACAATTATTGTATGTGTATTTATATATATATATATATTATATGAGTGTGTGTGTGTGTGTTTATCTAGCAACACATGCAGTAAATCTATGGACGGAATGGCTCAACTATACACAATCGCCCGGAAATTTCTTTCAGCAGCCCCAAACATCGCCCTCAACCAGTCCCATGAAAGGCTTCAGCCTAGACGCTGGCAAGTCTTCGCGCAGCATTCCGCATCCGACGCACCCAAAGACGTCTTCTTCGAGTCGATGGCCAGCCAGTCCTTGCCAAACAGCGCGAGCGAGTTGATTGAGCTTCAGCTTCCGTTGGGACCAACCCTTGGAATAACAACTTGGGACAAGCCTCCGACCCAGGAACAAATCAAACCTGGGAAAACCAAACAACAAAAAAAAAACAGGTGAGAAGGTCGGCTTGCTGACCCGAATTTCATTTCACACCTCCCAGCCAGGATCCAAAAAGCGGGCCCTGGTTTTTTGTGTCTATTGAACACTGTCAGCCTTGGGCTGCCCCATCCCAGCAAAACATGTTGTTTATGCAAAGAATCTAGGGTCATTTGCTTCTTTGGTCTGGATTCGCCTGGTGAGCGCTGAAAGAACTTGCAAGAAGGCAAATTATCTTTCGACTGGCACCCTGGTAATTTCTGTGAATAAACAACTTCTCACAACTTATATATAGTTATCTTTGATACTAGCTCCGCGTTCCCTCCAGCATCGCATGGCATGGTTTCAATCAGGGCAGCGCATCGGTGCGTTTACCCCAAGATTGGCTTGATCTGAGGGGCGGTGGATGCGTTGCAAAACAGTTTCCCAGTTGTTGAATATGAACAAATGGAAGCCTGCAGCACGAAGGGGCAGCGATCGCTTGGGCTGGATTGCCTGTTGCGACAGGCCCTGAAAGAGAGCATCGTCTTCAACGTGGTGACCCAAAGGTGGATTGAACAAAACGACCGGCCTTCGAACGAAAACCCGGCGCCCCCCCAGTCCTCGCTGCAGGTGTAGCGGCTGCAGGTTGGGGAGCAGCAGGTTTCTGGGTCGCCTTGCTTGCTGGGGAAGCGAAGTAGCCGCTGCTTGAGTCAATCTGGGCGCTAAATCGAGGGTTTGGAAAAAATTGGAAAAACGATCCTTCCCCTGTGGTGTCAAGGGGAAATCACAAGTGCATCATTTAGACATTCAAAACACAAGGGGAAATGCAGAAAAACCGTGTGGGAGCAACAAACTGACGAGCTGCTGAGAACCCAACCGCCGCAACAAGAAGAGCAGAGCGAACACCGCTTCGAAAGGAAGCTAGAAACAAAACAAAGAAATACCTTGGCATTGCGTGAGCCACAACAAGACATGCAAATGCAATACCCTGCCAATCAGCAACCAAAAGTGCACCGAAACAACAAGGAAACAAAGCACAGGAAAGCAAAAGCAAAGCAACTCCAAGCAAGCGAGCAAGCAGGAAAGCAACTCCAAGCAAGCGAGCAAGCAGGAAAGCAACAGCAAGCGAGCAAGCAAAGCAAAGGAAGGAAAGTCAGACGGGCGTGTCCCTGAGAAAATGTTCCAGCAACGGCGTCACCGCGTCATCAATTCCTGCAATGAATTCATGGCAAAAGTAAATCAAACAATTTGACAAACAAACAACCAAACAAAGAAAGAAAGACAGAAAGTCAGAGGGAGAAAGAGAGAAATAAAGAAAGAAATAAAGAACGAAAGAAGAAACAATGAGAGAAAGACACAAACAAACCAACAAACCAACAAACCAGCAAACAAACAAACAAACAAACAAACAAACAAGCAAGCAAGCAAGCAAGCAAGCAAGCAAGCAAACAAACAAACAAAACACACAACAAACGCAACACACACACACAAACACAACGACACACGCAACCAACACCACCAAAGCTTGACACTGGGCTGTCCAAGTTGCTGCCCACCAAGCCGGCATGGGCTTCGTTTTTGATCCAACCCGCGGACTGGTCGCATTGGAAGAGTGCGCAGGTTCGCGTGCAGCACCTCGTTGCGCCGCTTCCATGCCGAGGGAAGTTGAAACTGTCATTCTATTTGATGTTTCATGTTCCCTTTTGCGGAAGCCTGCAAAATTGTGTGGGGGGTGCCTCTCATCCTTCTGCTGGGCTAAAATATTTACAGGTCATTCGCTTGTGATCATGGTCATTTTTGGCCTTCAAAGTAGCCACCAACCTGATTCTGATCTGCAAAAACCAAAACGACACCTGGAATAAGATTCCCAAGAAAAGCACCTACATGATGCTGGCTCGCTTTACGTCGAGCTCGCCGTAAAATGGGCAAACATCCACTCGACTGCGATCCTGACCAAGTTTGCCTTGAGTACCCAATAGAAATTTGAGTTCTCTAGGCCCTTACCCTCCCAACAACTTCACGCGGGCTCGCCAAAAGAGACCCATGTTTCTTTCGTTCAGAAATATTTGTGCTTGCTTTTTTCCCGGGCGGACCTTCTTTTTTTCTAAGGCTTAGGGGACCTCCCCCTTTTTAGACGGCAACGGGACGCCCAAAAGACACCCTTTCTATTCGGAGACATGCCTATATGCGACCTCTTGCCCGGGTGTCAAATAAGACGTCCGGATAAAACGAATTCGCCTACCCCCTTTTTGGCCCGCACATGGAAACTAATCAAAGAGCACCCAGCTGTTCGCCATTCTTCGCATTTTTTTCCAGCTCTTGGGAAACCTCATTCCTACACTTCCCCCTATGCACTTACCAAAAAACAGCTGTCAAAGAGCGGCTGAACATACCGAATCTTCATAATGGAAGATCTCGGCTTTCGGCCTTCTGGCGTTGTCCGCAATGATATGTACAAGGGGTATGCGCAAACACTCCAGACACTATGTTGCGTCAGCCCAACCTCGAGTTGTCACAAAGCTGGGTCGCTTGGATTCAACCGTTTTGCTCCGCAATTCCGGAAGAACAGAAAGGTCTGGTGACCTGGGGGCTCGGAGCAACCATCAAGACCCCAAGAGGGGCAATGTTCACCCCCACAAAACCAACGAACCTTTGCGGATGAATCGCCATGTTTCCGGGCCAACAATAGAATTCAAGCAACAGAAGAGAAAGCAAAAAACGTTGCGAGGGCAAGGCGCTCCTCGTTTGAATGCCCACGGACGTCGTTGGCTTTCAGGTTCCGCTGCCATCCCTCGCCGCCTCGCCCAATTCTTCACCCAAGAGCCGGGACCTCTTGAAATGCCACGGTGGACGCCCCCAGCATCGGCAGTTCAGTAAAATACAATCACCAGAAAAACCGTGCCAAATCCGCTAAGTGCTGAGGTTTCGTGGTTTCCTTGCGTTCAACAGACAGGTCTTTATGGAAAGTCAACCACTGCAATCACCAAAAAACGGTGTCAAGTTACGCTGAATAGACAGGTTGCCCCGTGCATGAAAGGATCTTTACTCACACAAAGGACTTGGAAAGCGGTTCAGGAGCTTGCCTGCAAATGAGGCGTCAACCTTTTGGGACCTTGACTCATGTGACACACATCGACAATACCACAAGCCGAGTTCAGGTTATGCCACGTTCTTTAGCCTGGCATCCGCCTGAGTCACTCGGGGGATCCCGACTCCTGAAGCACCAAAACCTCATCCCAAAGGATCCGAAGTGCGGACCTTCGACGACAAAAGCCACCCCCGGCCGCAGGAAAGGCTCGGCAAGAGCCCGTCGAAGGGGTTCTTAGAAGAGGCTTGAGAACATGGGGGCAAGAAGGGTCCTCGAGTGGTAGATGACGTTGTTACAGCCAACATGGAAAACAAACACATCTTAAGATTTCTGCCCATGCAGACTCTTTGTCGAGAGTATCCCGATACTCGGAACAAAGGTTGCGTGGCCGGCGTTGGGAGCATACTGCCCTCAAAATGAATGACGAATGATCATGCTGCCTGCCAGCGAAACTACATGGAGTGCTTGTGTCGCACACCCATGTGTGAATGAAATGACGCAACGCGGCCATGGGTGAAAATCCAAATCGTACCCGCAGTGAACGACCCAATCCCCACTTAAAGACTAACATGCGTGGCGAATTCACCTTACCCCAACATGGGTTTGGACAACCACAGCCATGTTTGACCCCGTTTGGGGACCGCTCCGAGGCCGCGGGACTCACATTTCTTGGGCTTCGCCGAGGAACACTGGAACGCGGAGCACAGCTTCTTCTCGCAGCAGGTGGCGTCGCTTGGGCGGGACAAGTGCACCTCGCCATGGCCGCCGTCAACTTTTCGGGTTCCCCTAAGAGCACATGGGAAAATTGTGGAATCCTAGGGGTACCTGCCAATTCCATTCTGAACCCAGGGATCCGAGTCCTTTCAGGAAACCATCGAAAACCCAGGTTAGAAACAAATCCGGTTGTTGAAAAGAACGATGGTTGAAAAGAATGAAGAATCAACCCCTAGAAAAGAATCAGGGTTCCCTAAGAACGACATGGGAAAATGAGGGCTCGTCCCCTGCGGGAAATTGGGGCTCGTTCGCTGGGGTGTGGAAAACTTACTGGCTTTTCCACACCCCTCGATGGATGATAGACTACAGGTAAAAATGGCCGAGCCCAATGCGGACCAGAGGAGGATCCTGGAAGCAGGACCTTTCAGCGATTGCTCCTCCCGTTTCCTTTCAGGGGGTGTGAAAATGGACGTGGCAAAATCACCCTCATGATTTTGGTCATGTTCGAAGAAGTTCCCTTTTTATTTCAAGCCATCTGAAACCCGGTGCACCTTGCTCTCCGGCATGCCGTACCCGAAGGGACAAGTCCAGGATGCACAGGTCTGCGCAGGCAGGCCGAAATGTTCGAGCATTCCATATGGCTCATATGCGAATGAATCTGGGTGCAACATTTTGATGGGCTTCCTTTTGGTTTGCCGGTAAACTATGCCCAAAGGCTGTCCCAGAAACGACGCACCCAGCTTGTTTAAATGGCCGCGGCCCCAGACTTAACCCAGTTCATCCCCCGAAAAATGCCCATGACCTTCTGAGCTTGCAGGGCTACGTCTACGTGGAAAGGTCCGTGAGATGTTTGCAGCTCCTTGGAACACTTGGAAACCCTGCCGCGAAGGATAGAAACGTGTTTAAGGTGCGGATCAACCTCAAAAGTTGTCAGCCAAACATGCTCCCAGAAGTAAGGCGTTGTTCGTCACCCCTGCATTTGCGCCAGGCAAAATGCTGAACAACGCCCAGGTCAATTCTGCTACCTTACCCTTCGGATGGCCCCAGTAAGCTTGTTGCAGGTGTAGAACAGCAATTTAGAATACTGTTTCCTGGAGTTGTGCTGCGACAACGGCCAGCCACCCACACCTCCCTGATAGATCAACGGCCTCTTTATATCTTGGGATTTGCAGCATGTGGCAGGGGTGGGGGTGGGAACTTCCCTGAGCACCTCATGAGGAAACAGCCCTTCGGATAATGCAGGCAGGCCCTGCAAGATTGACAACCCACAGGCCTCACATCGGTGTTCCTGGATCTCCCCAACAATCGGTTGTCCCCCCTGCAGAAAGCAGGGCCCGGCATCCAAAAGCGAGTTCCCTTAAGGAGCTCAAGCCCAAAACGAGCTGGCCACGAAGTCACCCTGTGGACCCGTAGCAGCATCCAAGTTTATTTCCCACAGCCAAATTTATATTTTCGCTTTCAATCCCGGGTCCTTGTTCTGCCTCAAGGCCCTACAGGAGGGTAGTGGCGAGTCACCAATTCCACGTTTCTAGCCTTCCCTTACAAGGAGATGTAGATCTCCAGGGATGGGAATGCCCCCTTTCCCAATGCCATTTTGGGGTTTGTAAACCAGGCCCGAGTCTCAAAAAAAAAAAAGCAACCAAGGAGAACAGCAGCCAACTGGAGGTCCTGGCCAGCTCCTAAGTTGCCAGCAGCAAAGGGAAATTGCCATGCTGGTCAGTTGCAAGCCTCCAAACGTGTTTTCAAGTTGTTTCAGTGATTGAACCTAGGTCCTACAGTAAAGAGGTTCGAATAAGGGTACCCTTTCTTGTCTGTAATCAATTTTGGTAGGGGAACCCTCCCCAAAAAAAAGGTGACAGGGCACTACTGAGGGACCTAGGAACACAATTAACCTAGCAGCATCAAACTTCAGATTCTCCAAAGTCGCGTTTCGACGGATGCCACGGCTGGCCTTCAAGCAGCACTTGTCCTTGGACTGCCCCGCCCGGCCGTAGGCTGCAGGGTCCGGCTCCGCTCCGACTCAGGAGGGGCTGAGGGGCGGGGGCGGTGGGGCGGGGTGAAGTGGGGTTTTCGAGATGGAGCAGGTCCATCCCGCTTTTTGCGCCACGATGTACTCCCAAAGTATTCATGGACATAACTTTTGGTCTGTAACAAGCTGTCTTTCTTTCTGCGGTAGATGTGGGATGATCTTGGGGCGACATGGTGGTGCATCTTGAGACTTGCTCTTGTTTGAAGGCAGCCAGATTGTGACTGGGATGGTGGATGTCGATCTTTGGGACGTTGACTCTTGGGGCCAGAAAAGTTCTCACAAAGAGGGCTTCGGCCTGCATCATATCACGCTCTTGCCTGTCGCGTGCAAAAGCCCTGATGGTTGGTTGCTAATTGGTTTGACCCCCTTATTTTTTCACGAAATCGCGGACCCCATCGCGGTGGAGTACACTTTCGCAGCTCCAGCTCGAAAGTCGCAACTTTTCAACACAAAACTAGTATACACAAAGTACACTGCCGCAGCCCGTCGCAACTTTTCAATATGAAAGGGGTACACGAACTAAACTTCCGCAGCCCCGCCTCGAATGTCAAAACTTTGTAATACGAAACTAGTAAACGAAGTAAACTTTCGCAGCCCCAGCTCGAAAGTTGCAAACTTCCAGTTCCAAAGTAGCATGTGAAGAGCGCTTCCGCAGCTCCAGCCCACAAGCCGTGCGGCAGCACACGGGGGGACCCGTCGGCCACCCATCCGGAAACTGGCGTGGAGCGACTTTCGCGAAACTTTCGCGGCCCTGACGCCAAACAGTAGCGAAAATCCAGATGGAAAGCCGCACTCAACTTGACCCGCAACCTACAAAACCTCCACAAGATTCTTTCTGCTGGGGGTTGCTTTTGCAGCGGCGTATTCTTGCGGCAACGCTGCGCTTTCCCCCGCCAACTTTAGTCTGTGTGCATTCTGCGCGCACTGCTGGCAAATATGCATGCTTCATCATTCCCGCTTCCTGTTAGCAAGCCACCCTTACACAGAACTTCGCGAAAAAAGCAAAAACAACAACAACTTTTGCAACCCCCTTCGCAGAACTTTCGCGGAGACCAACGCCCCGGCCAAGAGGTCCTCAATGCAAGACCTTTCGGACGACTCTCACATAGGTATCATTTTGCCTGACCACTTATCGATGCGGCTTGATCACATTGACAAGAGAAAGCCGCCAACGCCCGCTGCATCACTCCCGTCGGATAAGGCCATCGACATGGCAATGCCAAGCGTCTCAATCAATCCGACCCATGAGTTGCACTAACCCCTAAATTCCCCTCTCTTCTTCTGTGGCATTCATCTGCTAGAGCTATGGTCCAGCCTGGCGATGAAACAGCCGACAAACCCAAGTGCAACGTTGAAATCCGCCTTTAAATGTACCGCCTGCAGCCCCCAAGCCCAAAATCTGCCAGAAAAGGGGCTGTCCTTTTTGCTTGGCATTCGCTCAGTCTGTGCTTAAACCCACCAATACTAAGCCGCTCGTTAACCCCAAGTTTTTCAAGAATATATGGCCAAACACATGCATCCCACAAATTGCAGTTCTCGCACTAAAGTTTGTTTACATTGGCCAGGTTTCCAAGCTCGCAAAGCGGACCTTCCTTGCAACCTTGCAAGGACCCTTCACAGCAAACCACCACGATTAATCGGGGCCCTCTGTGGCCCCAAGCACAAAACATGCGGTTGCAATGTAAAGCCCTATTGCCAATAGCCCAGGCCTCTGTTTCCAGTCCAATCGGCTGGGAAGGGATAACCCTTATGTTGGACCCGTCCAAAGCCGCCTGCCCCGCAGTCGAAGAGGGCGCAGTTCGGCTCGCAGCAGGTTTGGAAATCGCTGCCCACCCTGAAACGCGGCAGGTTGCGCGGTGGCCCTCCGAATCGCTTCGCTTTGCTCCATGGAATGTGGGTGGTTGTGACGCCCCTTCTCACCACGAAATGAAACCATGGGAAGCCATTGTTTGTTGAGGTTTTTGGGGAAATCAACTTATTCCAGCGTTTTGTGGGTGGGGCAGGATTTCGTCCATCTACAGCATCCCAACAAACAAGACCCTCCGCCCATCCGTAAGAAAGAACATGAAAATCCAACAGCAAATCCTCCAACCAACATCTTGGTTTCGCAAACTGTCTACGGAATGCGCTGCCATACTCTGATTTTCATTGAGCAGAACCAACAATCGAAGTACTTAATCATAACCAAAACACTGTGGCGCTATGTGGCTCTGCTGCCTTTGGCCCCTGCATGAGACTCAGGGCGCTAGCTCTGCATAGCATTTCGGTGGGTGCATGTGTGGCTACCGTCTTTGTCTGGGTGCGTTGGTGGGTGCGCTGGGTCTGGACCCGTTCAGCGTGAACATGTTGAGAAGTTTAAGCTCAAACCACCAGTTGGAGGAAACCATTCACGCACTCGGTGGATTGGTGGGTTGGGTTTGGGTTTGGTTGGGGTCGGGTTGGGTTGGGGTGGGGTGGGTGGGTGCGTGGGTGCTCAAGGACTGCACCTGGAAGATTTGCTCGTTGAGCTACTCCAGTTTCCGTCGCAGGTGAAGAGGGCGCAGGTCGTGTCCTCTGCGAGGCAGGAGGTTGCGGGTTAGACGCCACTTCTCAAATGGGGCGGCAGATTTTTGATTTCGGCTGCATCCTTTCAAGGATTTTCACAGGAACCCTATGAGACCCCCCCAAATCTGGTTGACCAGCCAAGCGCGCTCTCCAAATGCCCAAGATGCCTAAGAGGAAGACTGCTCAGAAACCCGCAACCTTAGGGGCGAATCTGTTCCCAACATTTGGCAGCTCAAGCCCGCCATTTCTTGCCCTTCATTACCCTGATGCTGTCGACCAGAATCTCTAAATTTCCCATACTCTAGCTCGGATCCCCACAAAACCATATTACGGTATCCCGGTAGTCGGACACCACTACAGCAAGGAAAACTACTACCACCTAGCATAAGGATTCGGAATTGGACTCGAACAACGCAGACCAAATAGCAGCACACAATGGCGTCAGAGCATCGCAGCATTCGTCGTGCGTAAGGGCCACCACTGAGGCCCCCTTGTTCGAGAAGCCGGCGTCGCATGTGATCTTCGCGCACGTCTTGTCGCAGCACATCTCGTTGTTTTGGAAAACCTCGAAAATGACTGCAGAAAAGGTCGACCCCACATACTCCTGCTTTTTTTCTGAATTTATGGGGGGGGGTCCCCAAAAAGTGAAGGTTTGCCTCCAAAATGGGTCCGCGTGTTGGACCTGGGGTTTATTCATCCGGTGTCAAAAAATGAACGGCAAGCTCCGCGATGCGCCCTCAACATCTAGGATATGTACCGTTGATTTGATGCGACTTGCCAGTGCATCGGGATGACAACTGAAGGAGCCAGGACCATTGCCGCTAGCCGCGCAAACTTGTTTTTTTTTCCCAGGACCCATGTTGGATGGGGATTCTAGGCAGGAACCAAGAAAGCAACCGTTCGTGGTGCTGCCGAGTTTTTAGGACCGCACCATGTGAACCGCCACCTTAGTAAGTTCCACATCGTGACTTCGGTCCCCAATGGGTCACACCCATCTTGCGGACACAGGTGAGAACCCCTCTATCCCGCGCTGTTGCTCAGAGCTTTGCGGAGGTGATATAAGCCGCCCGTCTGCAATGACACTTCACAAGAAAAAGTCAGGAACATCTAGGATCCTTTCTCTCCATCTGGTCCAAAGTCCCTAAACACACGTCTACTTGCCATCCCAAAGCCGCCTGGCACCGGCCAAACGGGAACACCCAACGGACACGAAGGGACCAAGATTGACAAGTGATGTTTTGAAGAAATGCACCTGGCGCTTGAAGCAAGGTGCGTTAGATGCATATCGCGGATTCTGCTTGAAGCCCTCACCACAGGTCCACAGCGCGCAGGTCCTTGGCGTTGAGGGGGCGGGTTCGCTTTCGCTCCTTATGACTAATCCTGATATTGATGAACATGTCTCTACGTTTTCGAGCAACGGATCATGATGCGTTCCCCAGCAACGCATCATCTGAAAGGAGTTCATGAGAATCGGTTGCCCCTTGGCTGCTTCTGCATGGCTCACATGCTTTGAACCCTGCAAAGGCCCGGCTGATGCTAACCCATTGGCACCCTAAGGATCGCAAAGCACATCTGAACAAAGACCAAGGCTCAGGCCGGGTATGTCCTTCCTTCCAGGCATCCTTTTTTGCCCTAAACCCCCAGTTGTCGAGGGAAGCACGGCGCGCTTTTTGGTACCTTTTAAGACAGAACAAACCACCACCGAAGAACACAGCCGCAACCAGGGCAATGGACTGGTAACGCAACCCAGCAGTGACTGCATGGTTTTACTCAAGGCCAAGAAAGAACAGCGGGGTGAACAAAAGATCAGGTACGCCACAGGTAGCATAGCAAAACTCCCAGTTTCCTGGGTAGCTTAAACTTAAGGCCGCATAGTCTATGGCTCTCCTCAACATGTCCCAAAGGCTGTTTTCGGTTCTCTTCAAGTGTGGCTATCGAACAGGAATGGAGCCAGGCAATGCTCGCAGTGGACATGCTTAAAGGATGTTCAAAGACAGCCAAGAGGAAGCCAAGCAGAGGGGTGCCCTCAAGGCTTGGAAATACCGCATCACGCTTCCAGACTTGCCGGAGGCTCATATTTCCTGACTCCTTGCAACTTGCAAGGGCCAGGGGGCCCTTTGTAAAATATGGCGCCCCAACGCTTGGAAATGCACTCCCTTCGTCCAAGGTGTTGGGAACGAACCTGAGGACCTAGGGATTCCCTTCAAGGAAACCAAAGGGAACGCCTATCGAACCGCCAAGCTTGAGAGCCGCCCGACGAGCGCTCCCTTCGTCCAAGCGGCTTGTCGCAGCACGCCGCGTCGCTGGACCCAAAGCGCCGGTGGTGGTCCTCCTTGGGCGCCCAGCCCTCGCCTTGGGAAGCGACAGCTGTCCCCATGGCAAACACGCAAACAATATGTATGTATGTATGTATGCATGCATGCATGCATGCATGCATGCATGCATGCATGTACGCATGTACGCAGGTACGCAGGTATGTATGTATGTATGTATGTATGCATGCATGTATGTACGCATGTACGCATGTACGCAGGTATGTACGTATGTATGTATGTATGCATGCATGTATGTACGCATGTACGCATGCACGCAGGTATGTAGGTATGTATGTATGCATGCCTGCATGCATGTATGTACGCATGTACGCAGGTATGTACGTGTGTACGTATGTACGTACGTACGTATGTATGTTTGCATGTATGTAGGTATGTAGGTATGTATGTATGTATCTGTGTATGTAGGTATGTAGGTATGCATGTATGCATTCATGCATGCAGGCATGCATATATGTATGCATGCATGCATGCATGTATGTGTGTGTGTATGTATGTATGTATGTATGTATGTATGTATGTATGTATGTATGTATGTATGTATGTATGTATGTATGTATGTATGTATGTATGTATGTATGTACACATGTACGCATGTATCAATTTACATATGATGTGGATGTATGTCCGTACGTATGCATGTATGTATACATATATGTGTATATGCGTACACTCATGTGTTAAGCATACATGTGCCTGCTGGCATTTTATACACATTGTAGACACCATTGAAATGCTCCACACCCTTTTAAGCATAAACATCTGTATGTACAAACCGATGCCTGTAACACTATTCGTTGATGCTGAACATACCCAACTTCCAGATGCAAAGCTACTTCTGGAGCCTTTGAATCACACCGGTTTTGCTATGATATTCATGAACAGGGTGTCCATCAGGCACAGCAAGATGCAGGCTTGCACCTTGCTTGCCTAAGGTGCTGGCTCGTTTGAAGCCAAGGCATGCCAAATTCAGCGATGCCAAAACCAGATTCACCAAACCACCAATTACAACATCGCCACAACGCAAATCCACAAGCCAAGCGACCTGCCAATGCCCACAATCAAAGCCAATGCTACCAGACCGTACCCTTTAAATTAAACATTTGAGGGCACAGTTGCTAGGCGAGCAACGCCCACAACACTTTTTCTGAGGCCACGTCTGCATAGGTACCGGGCGCATTCCATATCCTCAGCAAGATGGAGGAGCTGCAATGACACGAAACGATTCCATTTGGCACCTGGCGCCTGTTGAATTCAGCAATCTAGAGCCTCATCACCAGCTTCTATGATAAAATCCTGCGTTTCCACCCCCCAACCTGTTTTTGTTGACTTCCACTTGCCTTTGGCCCCTGGAACCCCCCCCCCAAAAAAAAAAAAAAAAACGGCGAGGGGAAGCAGCTAAAGTGGAACCCTCTGAGGCTTCATGCAGCCCAAGTAGCAGCTTCATGCTCACCTGGCCGGGTGGAAGGTCGGCTTCGAACAAGTGAGCGCCCGCTTCACCCAGCGACCTTTGCTTCTACCAACATGGTCTTCCATTTGGCTAAGACCCCTGGAAAAAACTAAACATATTTCCATTAGTGATAGATTCTTTGAAACCCAAAAAGAGAAAACAAAAAAACTTAAGCAAATGGAAGTGGTTGCAAGTTATAGAGCCTTGTCGAACCTGCAATGGCCAACGAGGGCTTTGGGGGCTGCTCAGGTGAGACTGGAGGTTGGGTTCTTCTCTCACTTTATGTTCCTGCCCAAGCACCTTCAAGAAGGCAAACGGCCCTTGCCTATGGGCAGGCGAAAAGGTGGGGCATCAACAAGACCTTTTTGAAGGTTCGCACCCAAATGCTCTTGGACATGTCATCTGAAGATTTGAATCCAGGCGCTAATTTGAGGCATCCCTTCAAAAATAAACAATCCTCAACCTCTCGTAAAATTTGGACCCGCGGGCAACTTTTGCCACGGAATGTACCAACATCATGGTTCATTGGAAGGTCCATCCAGGAAATTGGGGGGGGGGGGGTGAGGTCCACCAACTCCATTCTCCATTTAGCAGGATGGGAACCTATAAAAATACTTGGATGTGCCTTTTTGAGGGTGCACTTTCGCCTGAAGGGAGGCACAAAAGGAACACTTTTGGGGGCCTCCCACCTAAACCTTCCTGGAGATGGCCATCATGCTTCGTTGTCAATCCGGTAACCCAGTTGCCAACGAATGGAGTGCCTGACCAAAGGGCCAACCATTCAAATTATCAGCCAGTAAAGAAGTGCATTTTTCCCACTAAAAGGAAAGACACAAAATAAATAGACCATCCTTCTGCCAGGCTTTGGCAGACGCAAAGCGTGAAGGGTAAAAAAGTCCCTGAGGAAGTGCCAGGGTAAAACCAACCCTCGGCGCCTGTCAAGTTCCCTTTCCGCAGCTTCCATGCGCCCGACACCGCCTCAGAAGCGGATTTTGGGATGGACCGCCTAGCTGCGGGCTCAACTGAAAAGAGGCGTTGCTAGCATTTCGAGTTGCCTTGAGTGGGTTATTGCAGCAGGCTTACCACTTACTAAGTACAATGCCCCTTTACTTGCTGGTGCGAGAGAGGCAGGGAATGAGAATTGGAATGATCCCGATTCAAAACATCCCCGATTTGGCTTCCTAGGGAACCCCCAGGTTCATTCCCTCAGTCACTGCTGAGCGCCAGTGGCAAATACCAACAAGCCCACATGCCACGAACCAGCCATTGGCAATGGCCGCTTTGTGGGGGGCCAGTGGCTAAAAGAGCCAAACATGGCAATTTGGCAATGGCTTTGCTTTTAGGTTCGGAACGGCGATGTGGCGTACCATTGCCAGCAAGCTGTGTAGGTGCAGTCAAGTTCGCATACATCCGAAGGTATTGAACCCAGGGTCGTTTGTTTCCATGTCCTACTGGTTGGTCGCCAAACAGGCGCCGCCTTCCCTCCAACAGCCTCCGGGCGGCCGAAACGCACGCCGCTCCGGGAAACGGCGGCCTTAATGCACAGTGCTTTCCTTTCGATTTAAGGTAAACAATGAAAAGAGCACCCTCATAACAGACACACACAGACACATATATCTGAAGATATGCCTGCACATATTTGTATGTGTATATATACACATATACACCTGTAAACCCATCCGCCCGCCCACCCACCAACCCACTCAACCACCCACCTGGTGTCACAGAGGTGGCTGCAAACACCTCTTGAAGAGGGCAGGAAACTGAGGAGCCTGCAATGAGGGTGAGCCAGCTCGCCCGTAGCTTCCTGAGCACGAGTTATATAAGGAGAGGCGACCAGCAAACATGTTGACCCCAGTGGGGGATCAGACCACTTTTGAACGGGCTTCCACCCCCCTATTCATAAACTGGGACTGATTCATATCGGGGTCAATATTCTGGGTCAAATTTACAATACCAGGATTCGGATGTCCTTGTTTCCATTTACCAGCGCAAGCCGATTTCTTTCCATGTGGCAGAACAAGCCAATTTTGGGGTTACCAAGCAATGTTAGCCCCAATTTATGGGCTAAGGGGTGTTGATATGGGGCCAAGTAGATGTGAGTTTGATGTGAGGTTTGGTCAAAAAGTCCAGTTGTATATGGGCAATTTTTCGAATGATTTGCAGGAACTTGCAAATATTCTTAAGCCAGGGTGCTCGCAAATTGTCCCGTGCCCCCTTGGATAAGCCAGAAATTCAGTAAAGGATGGTTGCGAGTCCCAACCACAACAGGTGCGGCAAGCCATTTTGATTCTTATTTTGGAGAGTCCTTGTTTATAGCAGGTTAAGCGGGTGCCTGAACCGGACCCAACCCAGTGCACTTTGTCCAAAACTGTTCCGTTCCCGCTTTGAACATGGGTAACAAGACTTAGGCCCTAGGTGTTCATGCCCACTCCGTTCAGACAAACACATGCGCAAGCATTTGCCTACCGGTGGGTCGCGGAAATCAGCACTGCCTATCACCCTGCTGACCTCTGCTTCCAGTTACTCATCAACGGTTTAGCGAACTGGCCGTATTCAGCCTGCTAGTCACCCCTTCCTCCAAACCTTCGCGCCGATGTTGAACCTCTTCACCCCAAATGGGGGCGTTTGGCAATGGAATGGGGGAGCCACAAAATCTGAACCGTTCTTAGTACGTTTGAACCAGCTTCCCCGAATTTAAGGTTGCAAGCTGTGTTGCGCGTGATGGGTCCATTAAAGCGACATCCTGAAAAATATATCTTGAATGATCAAGCGATACCTCCATCCCAAAAGTAACTCAGTGAACCCCCCCCGGTCCTTGCTACATTTCCCGCCCAAACACGGCTCCAGGCCCTTTCGAATTCAACCTGCTGGCATGCATTCGCCTCCATAGCCCCAAAGCAAATTTCCAAACTTAGATGGGCGGGGAGTTTGCCGAAGCGGGAAGTACACACCCGTTAGGCTGCAGCCCCCCCCCAGGATTACAAGCCATTTAGCTAAATCCTGCACCATCCAACGACAACAGAATTCCCAAGCTGGAACTGCAGAAGGTATTTTTAATCCCCCAGTAAAGGACCTTCACCATGGGTTTTCACAGTTCTTTGCCCAGAAGGATCCCTTCATGTTTGACACGCTCAGGGACTTGGTGTTTCTTCCGGCCGGGGCACATTGAAGCGATCCCAGGGCTCACCGTGCCATGGGGACTCGCAAGAACTGGGCCGTCAGGCCTCTTGATCCGATCGACCGGTCCACTCTTTGCGGAAAAATCGCAAAGTCAGAGGAAATGCAGTTGCTTCGCAAAGAACGATGTGTGGCACAAATGAGGGATCAAACGTTAAGACATGCTTGCATGTACCACTGCGAGCTTGACCTGGGCAAATTACTACAAGTCACCAACCAGAATCAAGGAGTAAGCTCGCTTTTCCAAGAGGTAAGCTCGTTATAGCTTTTCCAGATTTGATCGCAAATTAGATACACCCTGAACCAGTCTAGCTGAGCAAACTCAGATAAAGGAACAACTCGCCCAGCTTTTGTGCAGCTGGGACGCCCAAACCCAGTTGGCTGTGGCCTGCCCAGGCTTATGTGCTCTCAGAGCTGCACTTGCTGTGGATGCTGCTCTCGGTGACGGTGCCCTCTTTAGGTTCATTAAAAAAAAAAAAAAACTGAAAGGAATACCACTATCCCCTATTTTGACACAAACCCAAGTTGAGGAATGAGTCCGAACAAGACTGGACGGGGATCTCCGTGATCCATATTGAAAGGAAAACAGGCTGAATATGTGGAAGATCGTTTGGCGTCCTGACAAGCTTCCGTACGAAAACAAACAAAGTTTTTGCACGTGCCCCCCGGCCGCCGCACTCCCAAGACTTGGCTTGACCAATGGCGATGGTTCCAAATCTGTCCTGAAACAAAGTTGGACACAAATCCCAATGTTTTGCATGATGTCCATCAACCGGGTCCAGCGACTCAAGACTCGTGCAACACACACACACACACTCGTCCCCCCACCACTGGTGTTTTGGCCCGCCTTACGCCGGGCTTCTTTGTTTCGGCTGCCTGCTTTTGACAAGACCGGTGAAACTCGGACGCTTCCAAGGCGCTTTTCGCCCTAAGCATCCACTTGAAAAGGGTGAAGCGGCACCGGTCCCGAGCCGGACACAGGGGAGCACTCCGACCCCTCAAAGGGGTACAGCCCAGCTTTCATCTCGGCCATATTCACTGCGGCGAGGCTCTTTCGGATGGAGGGCGCGGACAAGTCCATGATGGACGAATCCTTCACGCACAAGTGGCCCATGTATGGTATGTTGTCAAAGACCTTGACTGCTCATTCACTGTGCAAAATGTTTAGCTTGTTTCTGTTGAGTGGGCAACCCCACAGGTTCTTTAAAGAAAAAAGAGGTAAACATAGCAGACAAGAGACGGTATCCTTTATCATATCCAGTTGCTTCTGTTCTGCCACCAGCTGGTCAGAATGCATGGGCTGAATCGCCCGCTGGCCCCGAGGTGGCTTGGACCCCGGCCACAAGATATCCCGCTGAACCAAGATGCCTTGCTTGTAGGTGTGGTGTTCCTTCTGCTGCTTTGGTCCAAAGTACATGCCGACCCCGTTGCGCTTGCCATTGGCATAAGCGCCATGATACTCAGAGCCATCGGCATGGTAGTACACACCAGGCCCGCTGCATTGGCCTTTCCAAAAGCTGCCCACGTACTCGTCCTTGTTCTCGAAGACTTGGTGACCGTGTCCATGTTTGAAACCTTCCTGAATGCACAAACGGCAACGGCGGGACGGGTTGAAAAGACTTCTGGAAGACCCATGAAGCGTGGAAAGCCTCATGGCAAAACAACAACGACGAGTACCACTAAACAGTTGAGCATCCTCCCACTTCCCGGCATACGAGTCACTCACCGTCTTGTACGAGCCTGTGCCGTGCTTAGCACCATGGACCCACTCTCCGTCGTAGCTACTGCTGTCGGCCCAGGTCTGTAGCCCATGGTTGTGCCTCTTGTCGTGCATGAACTGCCCCCGGTACTTTGTGCCAGAGTTGCTCTCGTAGAGCACCCCGAAGCCATTCCTGTGCTTGACCTTGAAGGTGCCTTCCAGGTTGGGCAAACATGAGTCCCCTGCAAATACCAACGAACAGTGGCTTCAACCATGGTTTCATTTCGTGATGCGAAATGGAATTCGCAACCATCCACAGTATGACAGAATGAACCCTCGCCACTTCGAGGGTGCACCTTAGCGTTGGTCTCCTCTTGGGAGGAAACAGCACCTCCCAACCAGAAGGTCCAGAAGGTCACATGTTGGCCGGAAAAAAAGAAAAGAGTCCTAGGAATGATCTAGGCAGACTACCATTGTATTGGACAATGCTACTTTTAGTTTGGGCAATACTACTTTTGAATTGGGAATAAGGGTTGCAGAAATCCAAGAGGAATGCAAACAAGCTTCGGTCCATGTTTCTATTTGATTTGGAAACAGTATTGCTGGATTCTCCTCCTGTTGAGATTTGGTTTGAGCTGCAATGAACTAGTGTTTGTTGGATTTGAGTTTCTGCCTGATTAGTACTGCATGAGCTTCCTACTGAGATTTGCTTTGAGATGCACTTGCATTGATTTAGCATCTGCTCGATTTGAATATCCATCATCTATTTTATTATTAGCTGGTTTTTCTATTTTGCAATTGAAATAGTATCGCTGGAGCTTCATTTTGAAATTTGATGTGAGTTGCTATTGAGTTGAATTATTTAGTATTGGCTGGATTTAATTGTCCATTTAATTTGATATTGCCGGAGCTTGCTTGTGGGATTTGTTTCAAGTTGCAATTGACTTGATTTAGTCTCTGTTGGATTTGATGTTCCATTTGATTTAGTATTGCTGGACCTCCTTCCGAGATTTGCTTTGAGCTGCAATTGGCTTGATATAGTCTGTGCTGGCGTCGGGCTGGCGTTGATATTTGTTTTTAATTTGAACTAGTATGTGGGCTTGTGTCTCCAGGCGATTTGGTATCGTTGGAGTTTCTTGTTGATTTTGCTCATTTGAGTTTGCTTGGCACTTTGCTCAGAGCAATGAGGTGCCGAGCTTGTGGCAGTTCTCCTACAATTTGGGGTACCATGTTTTTGGGGGGGTGGGGGTCGGGCGTACCTCATGTGACCTTCGCAAACCATGATTTTAAACAAAATGTTTGCACAATCATGCAAGTTATCGCAGCAACAGGATGCAACACAACGAGCCAGCAAAATGGATATCCTCACTCTTCCCGAAGCAACCTCAACTTTTGGCCAAAGCTATATGTTTGATTCCGTCTTCCAGAGGGGTCCCTAAAGGGTCCCTCATCTTCCATCTTAAGGGAGAAATGCCACGCGGAATTCCGGTCCAAATATCTACGGGCTCGAAAAACACATCAACGGAACTGCCTTCGTAGAAGCCGGACTCTTCTGCGAACTCCTCGTGGGAGAAGCCGAAGTCTTTGCGGCCCAGGTCCGAGCTCAACTCCCGGGTCCTTGCTTCTCAATCCGATCAGCTGCTGAAACTCGCTCAGGCCGTGATTTCTTGTTGGTATCATGTGGGGGTTGATCAAAAGGTCCCGTGAACAGGGATGACAATCAGGAAATCGTAAAAATATGATATTTGCCACATGGAAAGAACTACTCACAGACATTTGTGGTCAGAAAGATTGATCAATCCCCGTTTGTGTTTAGCTTTGAGACGCGGCATGAGCCAACTGCTGTGCTTCTGTGATCAGAAAGTTGTCCAGGATGGTCCGGGTGCGCTCACATATCCCACGCTATCACCGGAAGCGAAGGCTCCTTGAACACAGTTGGGAGGCAGTAGGCACCAGGCGCACGGAAGTTCAAAGGCCTAGTGTACTGAGGCCGTCTAGTGAAAGTCTTGACTTACCAGTCAGACAGTTAATTTGATAGCGGTCTGTGCTTCTCTTGCTGGTGCTCAGCAGGGAATGAATGAATGAATGACCCCCATAAGCCATCCAACTGGTGGTTTCCTTTTTTAGGAGACCAACGCCTGGCAAGTAGTGGCACCCTATACAACTCCAGTTGGTGTCAATTCATAGAACACGTGTGTGTTTACCTTTTGGTTTCCCTTACCCTCAAAGACCCACCCCGATCTCAAAGTGCCATGGCCGAGAGAGGTGGGTTCTCCGGTACCGCACGAGAGGCAGGGTCCCAGGCACTTGTTCTTGATTGGCCTGCGCCCTTCAACGCGAGGTCCCAGAAAATACGCCTAAACATCACATGTGCAGAAACTTATTGATGGACATCAGCTGGGAAAGGTGGCTTCTTGTATGGCCAAGTGTGTCCGTTGCAGGACGCCTCAAGAAAACAAAAATCCTAGTCTTGAGCTAAGACCAAGTGAGTTTGATTTGTCCCAACCCTTTTCATCCATCCGAAACATCATGGCTAAGACACTCTCTCAATGCACCTAGGTCATCGTATTTTCAAGTACCCCCCCCCCCCCCCAGCACCCTGGAACCCAAGCAGCAGTTCCGCCCAACAGGATTCTTCCAAACGTGAGTTGTTTGTTGAAATTCCACATGAATCTGCTCCGATGGTGTGGAAGTTAGCTAATTTTAGCACTGGGCCTACGAACTACTTGTCCAACTTCCAAGTCAAGTGCGGGGGCCTATCTGTGTGTGTCTGCATGTGATTGTTTGATGGTCTACCCTTTTTACCAAAAGGAAACCTAAAGGGACTCCCTTTGCTCGTTGTTTTGTGCCTAAAGCAGATCACCCCCCTCGTCCCCCCAAAGCCAGCCAGTCCACGTGTACAAGTATACATTAATCAGCTGCTTTTTTAAACAACAGAACACAACAAATAACAAATGCAAAGGCATAATATTCTTTGTTTCCCCCCCTTTTTTTTTTCTCGGGGGGGGGGAGAGTTCCCGCTATGTTCATACCTACAAGGCGAACTTCTTCTCAAGGCGCTTGGGGCGGCTGACGCCGGCCACAAAGGCCTGGGCTGCAGTGAAGGCATGTCCCACCAGCATCGTCTTGGTGGCGTCCATGGCGCGAATCAGAGGCGCGCGAGCGGTCGGAGCCAGAGACGCTTGGTTTGGGTCCAATCCGCCCCAAAAATCGGAGCCAAAGGATAAACCAAGAAATCAAAAGGGCCCAAGCTTCCAAACAAGTGGAGGGAAGGGGCTGGTGGATGCGGATTTGATTCATGGCCCAAAGGCTGATTGAGCAACCGCAGCTGCAGGGATGCTGATGCGGAAACTGCCGTCGCAAGCGATCGACACTGACCATGCTCTGCCAGCAGCCCGCGCCAGTCGCGCGCATGGGAAAGGGACCTTCAAGGCTGGGAATCGCTGGTTATAACTTGCCCATGCCCATGGCCGCGATGTTTTCCTTTTCACGTGGAACAAGTGGCGCGCAAGCGTCGCCCTAGTCGCCGTAGAGCAGCTCTTCCACTTCCTCCGAGTTGCCCAGCTTCCCTTGAAGGCGGTTTGGATTCCCTAAATGGTTTCCAACCCAAACGACACCCCGCAGAAAAACGGGGTTACCCCGTAGCAACTAGATATCCCATTGAACCGGTGCGGATTTAAAACCGATATTGAAGGTGGTTTGGAGATTAATCAGGGCTGGTGGATCGCTCTTCCGCTTGATGCTTGTCTGGGATCCCGAACCCAACAAAAAAAGCAAGTGCCACTGAACCTTCAGGAACCTGCAACAGCAGGCCTCAAGCTTTCCAAAAATACGTTGTTCGAGAAAGCCACCTAAAACGAGTGGGGACGCGGCTGGTGATTGAAAGAATGACGGAGTAAAAGAAACAACCCCTACGAGAAAAAAAGGTGCCAATGCACCACAACCACAACACGTATCCACTCGTTTCCCCACTAGCTGTGTGGATGGCCCACCCAAAAAAACAACAACAACAAGGAAGTCCAAACTTGTTGAGTGTCACCAAAATGGTCTTTCCATAGAGTATGGTCCAGGAATTCTGGAGGTGCGTGTCCGTTCCAACAAACTTAAACATATCGTATGGTACCGCGGGTGGGCAAATCCTGCAGTTGGGCCTGGCGTTTCATCCCAGTATTCATAGGGCTTCATCCACCCCGAGTGCAAAGTTATTTTGCCCATCCAGGTATTTAGCTTAAACATCTTGTTCATAATCCACTTCGCTGCTGTTGGCTGTTGTTTCGCAAAGCTCTTTAATTAAAATGCAAAGTATGGGTGTATCCTTTTTTAGTGGACCCCTCAAAATTGTGGTTTTTCTTTGAGTTCCCGTTTCTAACCACCAACAAAGGGGTCGCCGCAAAAGAAGAGGCCCCAAAGGCCGTGGCTGCCATCCCACCAAGCAAAAACGGTATCCTAAGGCAATCAACGACTCATCCCCTATGGGTTTCCTCTATGCCAATGTCAGTTGTATGCAAACCCTTGAGTGAATTGTGCAAGACTCCAAATGGCTCAAATGTGGAGGCTGTCTCGAACAAACGGTCTCAGCCCGGTCCCTGCTGGCTCCTTTTGCAATCCCATTTATATCTATGTACATATATATAGAGCGCCCCCTTACACCAAACCAAACGGGCTATTGTGGTTGGCAAATAGCCCCAGTCCTGAGTTTCGCAAAAAAGAACCCCTTTTGGATTGGCACTTGCAGGGGCTCCAAAGAAAACTAACCCATTTTGGGGCTCCAACAAAAGCCTGTTACACAAAGTTGAACATAGGTACCCAAACTGCATTTGTAAATGGAAAGGACTAAAACCTTCGGTCCTCGGCCCCTGGTTGAATTTTGACCCATAATGTTGACCCCATATAAATCAACCCCAGTTTACGAAAATTTGGGGAGGGGGGTGGGGTGGAAGCCCATTCAAAAGTGATGATTCCTCACATTTCACCCAGGGACCCACCCTATGAATAAAATGGGGTTGTTTAATATGGGGTCAACATTCCCTGGTAAGCCCAAAATGGCTTGCTCTGGTCAACGGAAAGGAAAACGGAGCCCTGCTAAATGGAAACAATTAAAACCTGCTGCACATCTCCTGGTGGGTTTAGTTTGACCCATACCCTTGGCTTGTCTCAGTCCTTGTTGCTGACCTGCCGAAAGCTGGCCAGCTCCGCCAACTCGTCCTCCGTCCAAGGGGAAATCACCCGCAGCTCCCCGTCGCAGTACTGGAGGTACAGCACCCGGTTGATGCAGCCCGGGCACTCGGAGACTTCCTGCGGTGTCGCAAATTTTAGGTCCAAATTGAAGTGAACATTACATGGGCCTGTCTCACAAACCCAAGATTGGTGGTTTGTATTTGGTCACTTTAGCCTAACCCCAAAAGGTACTCATTCAAGACACAAGGGGGTTTTGAGTGTGGCTTGATTGTCAAGTGACCCTACACACACAACAGACAGACTGACAGGAGACAAACAAACAAACTGGGAGGCAGACAGACAAACAAACCTACCACCACGAAACGGCTGGCAGCGCACTGAGAACAACCCAACAAACCAACCAAACCAACCAAACCAAGCAAACCAACCAAACCCAAACCCAAACCCAACCGACCAAACCAACCAACCAAAAACCACGCACTGGGAACACGCACAGCACCGTTCCTTGATGCGCTTCAGCAAGCCCACGAGTTTCCCGATCAAGGCATCGGACTCTGCCTCCAGCGTGGAGCGGTCCAGGCGGAGATCGTCCTGGCGGATGATCCTTTCCATTTACCCAACTTCGTTCTGCTAACCTACCGGAACACGCCATTTTGGAGTATTTTTGGGCCAATTTTTGGGGTTCCCGGGATGTTGACCCCATATGAATTCAGCTTCCCTGTAAGGAATGGGCCCAACCAATTTCCTTTCCATTTGTCAGAACAAGCCGTTTGGAAGGGGAGGGGGGCATGCCTGGGTGAAATGAAATGTGGGGAATCAGACCACTTTTGGAGGGACACACCTCCCCTATTAACAAACTGGGGTTGATTGATATGGGGTCAACATCTATTGGATCTGGCGAATGTGTGGTGAAATGTCCCATTACACGTTACCATCTTTGAGATTGATTGAAGGCTGGGGTTTGTTTCTCATTTATGCCCTCTACAAGAACCAGGCACTCAATCCCGAGGCCCCCAACGCCATCATTGGCACAGCTGCCTCCCTTTTGGCTCCCGTTGGGGTGCCAAAGGTTTGTTTCCTCAGTTTGCCCGACCTGGGTCACTTCCTGCAACTCGATGAGGAAGCCCTTGTCCACAACTCCGCGCACCAGCATCCCAACATTGCCCAGCTTCATTTCCTCAGGCTGGACGAGTGGACCTGCAAAAAGTGTTTGCATTCGTGGAGGGTTGGAAGCGAACAAGGACAAGCAAGGACAACCAGGGCAAAAAATGAACAGGACTCGTATCAAACCATGACAAGCCGGAAATGCTGCCTAAGTGTCTGCCAACTTGGTTGGCAGGAACTCCCCCCAGAGATCGCCGGCATCCCTGGTGTTGGCTGTGGAGCACTCAACCCCCATGTTGGTATTCGGCATGGCATCCTCATCGGCCGTTGGCATGGTGCAGGTCACAGGAGCTTGCACCACCATGTTCCTTGGCCAAACGCATCCGACCCGCCAGAAGCACACGTTTTGCAGCTTAGGGAAAATGAAGAAACTTTAGGGTAAATGAAGAACCCCTCAAGTAAATCAAGGAACCACAAAGCAAATTCGGAGGGCAAAACGGGGTTTGCTAAGCCTGGCCATGGTTCAACCCACCCACCGTGTACTTCAAGATGCGGACGTGCAAAGGATCATCCACTTCACGGATGCAAGGCGGCCCGTCAACCGTTTCGTTGCCCGTGACCACATACCTCGGTTTCTCTCAAGGGATGCTTTCAAACAAGCAGCCTTTGAAACTATCCTAAGCAGGTTCTGCCCAAAAAGGGAACCACCCACTTGTGTTGTGCCAGGTGCTCATGAGTCAATCTAAGAATCGAGGGATGTTCGTCAATACAACAACCTGCCCTTTCCAACCCTTTGGACAATATCTGTGAAAGAAGGCTGCTGCAAATTCTACAATAATTCCAAAAGCTGAATTAAGAATATAGGAGCCCAAGTAGAGGACATTCATCATGGTGATCGCTCGTTGTGCCCCCGAATCAGCGAGCTCGCTTCAGAAAAGGCCTAAGGCTCCTTTTCTTCATGCCCCTCTCCCAATACGCTTGGCGTGACGTGGCGACGCGGGAGTCTGCGGCTTCGTTGTTTTTTTTGCCTGGGGGGCTTTATCGGGCAGTACGGAATTGCAACGGGCAAAACAATGACACACAAGTTGGTTAAATAGCACCCCGAAACCCCATTCTAATGAATTTATGTAAGCCCTTAGAGCGCAGTATTCCCTTGCACCCAAAAAGGGTCATTTTTTTAAATGATATTCTATGTGTCCAGGTTCTCCATTGGGAGGACGCTCCACCAATTCATACATGGGTTTGTCTCAAAATGCTCTCACCCCAAAGTCAAGGGTGTCCTTTTGTTTTCCCCTTTGGCCAACCCCAAAAATGGCGACACCCACCCACACACACACACACACACACACTACATAGGCCCGTGTAGTACCTGCGCTGGCCGCGGTACTGGAAGTTCACGTCGTAGGAGCGTTTGTTGAAATTGGCGCTCCCCGCTGCGGCGTTCTCGGGCACCCAGCTCCAAACAGTCCCAATGGAGATCGCCTTGGTGGATTTGGTGGTCATGGCAGCGGGTGAAGCCGGTGCAAGACTCGTCCCAGGGACAAAAAAAAAAAACAACTAGACAGCTTCTTGCCTAGCATCAGTTTAGCCCAAGAAAAAGAAACAAACAAACTAATTAGGATGTCTTCAAACTTGACCCCACCCCCCCAAACAAAACGCAAAATCAAAAAAGAAAGTAAGCCCTAGCACAAGGGACACAATACCCCGAAGGGTCGAGGGCCCATTTGGCCAACTAAGCTTAATGATGTTGACCCTATATTAATCGACCTCAATTTATTCATAGGAGGTTGCCCCTGAGTTTAGAAGGGAATCAAACCACTTTTGGAGGGGCTTCCAGCCCCTATTTGTCTAGACTTGGGTTGATTCATAGGGGGTCAACCTTGAGCCCTAAGCCATACCGCCAAGGGTTGAGGTTTCATTTGGCCCCAATAAGCCTCTTAACCTGCAAGCAACTTGCGCCCACGAGACCAGGCGCGTTGGGAGCATCTGGAAGGCGGCCCACGCGAAAGAGGTCCACCCGTTGAGCCTGGCTCCCGCGCCTGGTGTTCAGACCCTTCGCCCTCATGTCCTGACCGAGACCAGGGTGGCTCGGCCAAGGTCAGTAGGTTTTGGGTTGGGTTAAGTTAGGCTGTTGGGCACAAGGTCAGGATTGGCCTAGGTTAGGTTGGGTTGTACCAAGCTCGTTTTCCCCACCTAATTCTGTTTTCCCCAAGCTCGCCCTTCCCAAGCCAACTTCTGTCCTCCGTGAGGGTGCCGTCTACAAAAGCGAGCATGGTACGCAAGGCCTGGACGCTAGTCACAATGTCGGCATCTTCCATGCTGCCTTCTTGGCCAAAATCGCTCACCTGCTGCTGGATGTTGGCCTCAGTTTACTCACAAGAGGAGTCAGCCAATGACCCAGTTGTCCAGTGACACTCGTAGAAAAAGGGCCTCTTATGATGCCTTAACCACTTCACCACTCCTGGCGAGATCCCGCCAAGCCTCCAAGCACAAAGGTGGCAAAAAAAAGAAGAAGCGGGCGCTGCCCAACCCACAAAAAGCTGAGGCCGGGCGGCTGTAAAGGACCTGCCCGGCTGCTGATCGACGAAGGGCGGGTTCTTCAAGCCTTTGGCCAGCTGACATTTGGGCGGGGGTGGCCGGTACTCGGGGGCATCGAAGGGCACCAAACCCTCCTCCAGCTCCGTAAACGTGGCCACCTGACATCTGGGGTCCGCGAAATCGGTTGCTTGCTGGTTCTCAGGGAGTGCGGGAATGCCCCCCTAATGTTGACCCCATATTTATCAACCCCAGTTTGTGAAATTGGTGGGTGGGGGCCCCTGCAAAAGTGATGATTCCCCACTAAACCCGGGGTTGAACCATGGGTATGGTTTCTTTGAAGGGATTCCCCTTCTGGTTCATTCCCAACACCCGGAGTCATTCCCTAAGTTTGTATCCCCGCGCTGGCTTGGGGAGACTAACTGGGAGGCCACGAACCACTTAGCTAACTCAGGGGCAACGTGCGGCACCATGGGCAATGGTAACATGAAAGGGTTGGTGTGGAAAAATCAGGTCACGCAAGTGCATTTTCTCTTGGTGGGTCTGGTCATTCTGGTGCAAGAGCAGACCCATACGGCCACCAAATCTGATGCTGGAAAGCAAACAGGCGGAACCAAAGTTGAGTCAATGCTAAAATGCCCTGCTGTCTGGGAAGTTGGGACCAACTTGCGGCCGCGCGTGCTTGCAGGGGGTTATTTGCACGCTGGCCTAGCACACACACACACACATCTTCACCAAATCCAGGCAACAACGCCGCATGCTCAAAAACAAAGGCAATTTCTGCTTGTTCTGTGCAAGGGCCTCCTGCACTGCACTCACGGAAGCAGGCGGATCATCCAGCAAATCCTCAGCATTGAACCAATCGAAAATATCGATGTCGTCATCAATCTCGGTGTCCTCCTGCCAATAGCCACTCCGCAACTTCTTCGGACCGAAGTGCAGGGGCTTCGACTTTTTCTTCTTCTGCATCTTCGGCCTTCGACTTGCGGCATTCCAGAGAACCATGCCATCGAAACCACCCCCTACGTCAATTTCTAACATGAGTTGCGGGAACAGGTGTTTGTGTTCGCTTCCATCGCTTCCACCTTCTTGTTTTCAAGGCCGACACGCCTCGCGGCCCTTGCCGTGGCTGTGCGCACTGAGGCGCCGAGCAGCAGTGCGGTGGCTAGGCACGCCGCTTGACCAGAAGCCTCGCGGCCTCGCTCCACATGCCGCGGGGCTGGGCGCGTTGGCGGCGCAACCGGCGCATGAAACGCCGGCGGACACCTTAGGGCCAGCATTGCGCCTCTGCCTGAGCCGAAAAAAATGCGCAGGAAACACGCAAAACTTCGAATACCCTTCTTGCTGAAGGGCTCCATGCCACTCATGTAAACTTGAGACCAGGTCAGAATCAAACAGTTTCCCTAGCTGCACACATGTGGATGAGATTATTGAATGACCAAGTGGTTGGCATCTATGGACCTATGCACAGGAAACGAGGAAGGGGCCGCGGAATTCCAGTCGATTTGCCAACAAGCGAGCCAAAATCAACGACACAAGCGACCCCATTTCCGACACAAGCGACCCCCGACCCCAAGCCGATACACTTCTGGAAAGATTGGGGTCCATAACGCTTTCCTCAGGTCTCTCGCCAGGACCTCCTCAAATATTCACAAAATGTCCGCCTCAGTTCCGGTTTCCCTCGACGTTACTCACGGAAGCTGACATCCTGGTGATGGGACTCGGCCACTGAACGGCTGCCGATTGCAACGCAAGGAAAGCCGAAGAATGACAAGATCCAGCCTCAGGTCGGGACATCACTGTTCAGCCACATGCCGAGAAACCTGCTCCAGTGGTATGATTTCCTTCTTTTGCCCGGACTGCCAGTCGAAAGGCTGGATGTCGAGGAGGATAACTTATGACATGGCACAGGAGATTATGTACAGCGTGCGCCGTCTTGGCGCACTTATCAAGACTAAAACTAACTATGCTAAGACGCCGGTATGCCCGCAAAGACTGGCGCGTGTGTTCCTGGCGAACGTTCAAGTCACGGAAACTTGGCAGCTTTGCCGGGAGCCTTCAGTTCGTCGATGCTTGGCAGGCCTAGTTCGGCGCCATCATATTGATCATTGATTATTTGCAAAACAGCGGTGCCATCAAACTCACTTCCTGAGTGGACTGGCCACAAAAAGTCTGACCTTTTTCTTCACCACTAAAATGCATATTCCAGAAAATTTAAAGTCCAGGAACTCAGGGAGTGAGCAAATATGTCTGGCGTCTGTTGCGAAACAAATCTCTCGGTCTGCCCTGAGCCAGCCTTTGATCCGCTGGGTCAGAATCCTTCATAGGACCTCAGTTGCGTAGGCTCCCAAATGTTGCGTGAGACTCAAAGTGGACCTGCAAGATGTTTGATGCCAAATGCGTTGCAGCACATCCGCAGGTCATTGTTTCTCCGTGAGCTTGGAACTTTTAGGGTTTGGGGTCCCAGGCTGAGTTCAGGGCAGGGTCTGGGTCTTTGCCAATGCTTGGCTTAGACAGGGAAGTCTGAAGTTTGGCCGACGGATGGTGATGTTGTGCTTTATCGTGGTAAAGCGGGCTCTACTGAATGATTGGCTTTCCCCGTGCGTGCGCTGACGGCTCTGCTCTGAAAGTTAGCCTCATCTTCCCGAGACGTATTGCAATTGAGGTGGCAACAAGGATGTGGCATGTTAGAGTTGGTAAGTAAAGAAAGGCAAAAAAAAATAACACGGAAAGCAGGACAGCAAACGAAACAGAAAGGGGCGCCCGCACAGCAAAACACAGCAAGCCTGTCCGAACAACTATGGCTCTTTTCGACCAGGGCCCCCACCGCACAGAAGCGTAAAGAAGTCATCAAAGTCAAAGCCGTCGCTTCCATCCTGGCCAGTGAAACGTGCCCCGAAAGTTGCTTGGAGGAGCTCCCAGGCTAGGTGGTTCATCTGGGGGATCCCGAATACAATCCGCAATTTGTGGTGTGTGGTGGAACACCACTGCAACAAGGGAAACCACACGACCATCTGGAATAAGGATGAAGGATTCTTGGTTGCTGTTGACCCCTCTGCAAAAAGTGTTTCACTGTTTCAACCAAAGTTAAAGAACAACGGTCCGTTACCAAATAGCATAAATGATTGGCTTCCAACAACCTCAGCCATGTAGTTATTTCAATTTGCTGAGCTCGGCGCATCCACCTGCTTCACCTGGTCAACCATCTTGCGGCACCTGCGGTGTTCTCTGTCAACCCGCACTTGGAAGCTTGGCTGAGATGGTCTGGGAGCTAGCCAAATGGTTCGCAGTCCCAGTTGCCAGAATTTACCGTTTACAGGCAATTGACTGGGGGTTTGCAACCACTGAGCTAACTCCCAAACAATCTGAACGGCATGCAGCGCCTGTCTAAGTCGTGACGGCAAACCTTGGTCCGCCAAAAACATCCGCAAGCACTGGTCCTAAGCTGAGGCTCTGGCAACTTGCAGGTCTTCGGCCCTTAGCCTTCCCTTGCCCTCCTGGACACAGCCAGGGTTGCTTGAAGCAAAGCTCGCCCTCAACCCTGTAAAATGATCCACCAGCTTTTCCCTTGCACCTGTGTTCATGTGACGTTATCACCGCCGCTTGCTGGCCTCAAATTAAAAACTTAGCATAGTTGGTCCCCCGGCTGCTCCAAGCGACCCGGGATAGAACTTGAGAGTGAACAAACTGTTGCGAGCCCTCGGTCCGGGTCAAGCAGGCTGAAGGCCTGGCACTCACAAGTGCGGAGTGTCCAATCGGCGGCGTCCCTGAACACTTTAGTAGATATGTGCACCCTGCTTCTACCAGATGGTCATGAGGTCATGAATTGCATGGGCTGTGATCCGTCCCCATGCAGTCAGGTACTAGAACTCCCTAGCAAAACAGCCATGAGGCACTTTGGCCACTGCCCACACAGGCTTATGTGGAAAGCCTGAGCACCAAAAAACGTGCAAAGATCACACATCCAAACCTGCCTCGTGGCACAAGCGCTCGTCTATGAGACTCTCAGGCCTCGAGGCGGCAACCACTGGCCATGGGCTTTTCAAAATCCAAATCGGTTAGCCCTCTGTGAACATCAGCCAATCCAGCCACTAAAATAGGAAGCCTAAAATGGGTGGTGCGCCTATTTGGTGTTGACCCGCAGCCCACTGCTTGCGTTGAGGCCAGGGCATCATGCATGCCAAGTATTCCACAAAGTGAAGCCTAGAGGCACAACATGTCACATCCGTTGACGCAACAGCTGCAGGCGCACTTGCCCTCCCGATGAGCGCCTTAGCTCAAAGATCAGCCACCACCACGTCGATGCCCACGCCATGCCATGAATTTGTGCGAGTCAAAATCGCTAAGATGAGAGCTGCAGCCTTTAAAGATCTCAGCCATGTCTGGTGGCGGCGCTATGCCCGCCTCATTCAAGCCGGCCTGTCGTGCAACTTCCAAACCGTGACTCGTGCGCTTGTGCAATGCATGGGCACCACTCCTCGGAGGTGTCAAAAAGTCCCCCGTCACAAAGTCCCTTCTTCCATTTTGCAATCATGAGGGCTGGGAAGAGCCCAAATAACCCTTACCAGGAGCCTCAAAAACCGATGAAAATGTCATATCTACAAAAAACACGATGTTTTTTGGGAAAACACGATGTTTTCGGGAAACACCGCATTTTCGATTTCAAGCATTTCCCCACACATTCCTTCAACTCGTCATCCGTTCTCAAAAGATCTCAAAAGCATCATCTCAACCTCAGAATTTCCCATCGCCCTCCCCTTTTGCGCTCGTAACGAAATCAGCTTCGCATTCGCCACTCGTCTTTCGCAACTCCAATCTGAAAGAAGGAGGACGGGGACCCAAATAGTCAAAAGTACCACGGTTTTATGACACTTGTCAAGCAGCAATGCCATGATGAGGGCTTGCTGGCTTCGAACAGCGCGCAAGCTCAAGCAAAGACCGTGCTTTTGCTCACGACTTCGTTGTTTTCCAGCAACATTCTCGAATTAGCGCATGTGTGGTTGAACCCGAAAAACCCATAGAATTTCCACGGTTTGCCACGCTTTACTACGGGTTCTCCACGGTTTAGCTACGGGTTAGAAAACACGATGTTTTCCAAAAACACGATGTTTTCGGTTGGGGCGGCGGGCTTTCTACGGGTTTCTACGGGTTTGCTACGGTTTCTACGGGTTTTCTACGGGTTTCTGCGGTTAGCCGCCAGGATCCCGCCCCATTTTCTAAAAAAATCTCAAAATTTATAAAAACAATCTCAAAAGGTGTCACCTACCTGGTCTTGTTTTGCACCAAAAGGAGCTTTCGGATTCCAGCACCCCCTTCAAACTGGTTCGGTATGACCTGGCGCCAGTCTTCAGGTGCCTGTTGCTGTGAAAGGTACTTCAAGACTGAAGCCAGCTGCACACCCTGGCTGTCAGGCTCATCAATGTGGTCCTTAGAATTTGAAGCATACTCAGTATAGAGCGTTGCCCTCAGTTGAAATCTTAATGGGTGATGCCTGTGTGAATCCACTCCCGACCCTTGCCTTTGACCCTTTTCTCCAAATGAGTGTTTGGCCTCAGAAGCCCATTTTTAAGGGGTTTTATCAAAACACGATGTTTTTCCTGAAAACACGATGTTTTCAGAAAATCGAGAAAAAACACAATGTTTTAGTCAGGGTACGACATTTTTACAGGTTCTTGAAGCCCCAGGTAATACAGCTTGCTTGAACAGATTTGAAACAAGTCCAGCGATGCCTCAAGCTCCTCGCGGGAGATTTCGCCGTCCTCGGACAACGGCAACGGTTGAGGCCTCTCCACAAGGCACGGCGTGAGGCAGCAACACCGTTCTTATCCAAAGTCCGGAAGTTGTGGCGTGCGTCCTGGGACGGCAAAGCATGGCACTGGATAGGTACCTAGTCTGCTTAAGTTGCTGGTGCTCAGTAAGGAATGAAGGAATGAACCTGGGGATTTCGTGAAGGAAACCCTAGGGGATGGTTTGTAGGGGTCATTCCCTCATTCCCGCCGAGCACTGGCAAGTTGAGACTTGGCCTGCAAAGAGACGCCCACCTGCCCTAAGTTGCGGACCCGGAGCTGCACATCATGCTCTGCCAAGTGCGCCATGAACAAAAGCGCGACCTGCAACGCAAATCGAAGCAATGCTAAACAAAACGCCTCCACCCTGCACGCATCTGCAAATTTTACTATGACTCCGTGCACAAGCTGAACTAAGAATTGCGTCCCCAAGTAAAGACCCTTTCGCTCGTTATAACCCAGCTCGGTGAGCTCGAAACCCATACAATAGGCAAATGCCATACTATGGACCCAGCCATTTCGAATCTTCGACCGCGCCTTTTTCAGCT